AACGTTCACTCTTTACATGTATTTTCCTATCATTACTACATTTTTAGATCATTTACACGTTTCTCTGGCTCGATTGCAGTTTGTAAAATTGCATTACTCTTCTTGAACGGAAACAGATTACCTAATGCCATCTCTGAAGAAGCAGGACTTAAAACGGGCGAAACGATTTTTATTCGAAAATGACAAAAATATCCCGGAAGAGTTAATTTTTGTTTTTTTTACTTTTTGCTTTAAATGTTTGTATAAGTGTTATATTTTGATTTAAATAATAAATATTTGATGACATGGAGCTTAAGAAAAAAATACATATATAAATTTCTTCTGCTGTTGTGGAGAAACTGAAAAAGATCAATTTTCTCGATTGGTATAAGCGTGAAGAAAATAGAGAAACCGCACACACTTTTAACAAGTTTGACGCCGATTTTTGGCTTCCTAGTCACACAATCCAAGAGGTTGCAGCTTTATGAAGCAAGTGTATAGGGAAAACAGTCAGTTCACCTTTTTCAAAATAGAACCAGGACTTAACACACACTTTCCGTTTTGTTAGTGAAGTTCAAATTAAACTAGACAAAGTTTGCAGAAAACTGTTTCTAACTTGCATAGTTCCGATGTGGGAGCGTCGCCCGGATAAACGACCTAGCCTGTATGTTTAATGAACGATCAATCTATTATAGATATATGATGATCTATATAGATGTATGATGGAACGATCAATCTATTATAGAAACATCCTGTTTACTAGGATGTAGTGGTCCACAAAATATAATATTTCCGAATTTTTTTATGGTAATAGTCTTCTTGATTTTTCTCGTCCTACAGTTATCGATACGGAAACTTCAACCTGCTTGCTCATTAGATAAATCAATAATCGTAATTTAGTTTTCATTTCATGAAAATTATACATCAAAAACTGAAAAAAGATGTTTATTCTGAAATGCAGGCAGTCTGCTAAAAATGGACGTTATTTATATATTTTTATATGCATTATGTTCAGATCAAGGTGGCACTCGGCAATATGAGAGATCCTTTACCAATTTTGGAGTTTTTAATCAGCGTTAACAAAGAAAATTGCTTGAGTCGTATCGGCCAATAGAAATTTTAGTCACAACACGATATACCCTATCGTAAAATCGTATAAATTTGTTCTTGCCTGACAAAGAATACTATAATGTCTGTTTTCCAATCTATTCAAAACTATTATTCTCTTGAAATATCCATGAACATATTCTTTACGAACAGACGTATATTTTTTGGTATTAGTTGAAAATCACAAAACATATCAAACGAAGAATTGACATATTAAGCTTCGGTGCGCATGCAACGTGTAAGAGTGTTGATTAAAAATTATGCACGATTCAGTACAAGATCTGTACACGGATGTGTCCCGTCTTCGTGTCAAGAAGCACAAAAAACAGGACTTAGCAAACGATCACCAAATTGAAGAAACTTATGAGTGCAGTTATCCAAACAGTAACATAATGGGCACTTTTCCTGAAAGAATTCGAATTTGTTAATTCACTAAAATTTGGGAATAGCTAATTCTATTTACGTTTTCCCGTGTCTAGCATACAGCAATGAACATAATTTCACTTTGGGCCCAAATAATTTTTTTTCTGAAGATACAACGAGACGCCACTTTAACTGAACACTGTACATATAACTACAACCTTAAAATTTTTGAGTTGAACTAATCGTTATTTTCCATTAACATGTTTTCGCGCCTTCTAAATTTATTACCGCAAGTGTAGACACAAATTAATTCTGTTCATGTCCAGTAATGCATAAGCAAATCCATTAAACTCGATCTAGTTCTATCATACCGGTTGCCGTATACCATACATAAACATAAAATATATTTTAGTTTATTCATCATAAACAAAATTCAGTCGTATTCCATTAAAACGTGAGCATATAAGTGCTGGTCAGATGTTTGGAAAATATGGCCTCTTCAAATTCTCTACGATTCTGTCCAGAAGTCTGTCCAGAAGTCTGTCCAGAATGTGCCATATACTCGTATAATACATTTCATACCAACCCACCAAATAATGAAATAAGCCCCAAGAGTTACGTTGACTAACCAATTACTTAGTTTAAGTAAGAGTTTATTAATTGGGGAGCCTAATTGGGGATAATGTGAGTTCTCTGGTAGGCTGTATTTGCCAGTTGGATTCCGGAGATCACAGAGTTAGCGGCCAATCGATCAAAATATGGTGGAAAATACAGCAAAGATATCAGGCGCAGGTATTCGAAGCAGTCACAGAACCAGCCTGGCACTTTAGACTAGAAAAAAAATTAATTATAGCATACGACCTAACTCAATTCATCGCGTATCCCTTTCCCTAACTGTGTCGTTCTGAGAAGCAAACATGCCTTCATTTAAAGTCTTTCATTATTAGAAAGTGTGCCTATTTAACTCAACCTGTCGATTAAAATCAATAAAAATTAAAGTAGATTTTACTTCAAACGAGTTCTTGTATTTAAAGCATTGAGTCGTATGAAGGAAATTATGCTAAACAGTCGTATTCTATAATTTTTTTTCTGGAAAATGGAATGATGCTATATCTAATATTGTTACTAAACTTTTAATAACGTTTCGTAGTTTTTGACGCTATTAATAAATTAATTGGTATTTAAGCTCGATGATTATGGATTCACAGACAAAGTAAAAGCCAAGTGGTTTTAAAGCTTTTGAATAACATTAACAAAGCATCAACAGTTACTAAGGTGGTTACTTAAACACATACATAACAGTCGTTTCTTGAAGATTTGTGAGACCGATCTCAATCACAAAATTTGCACCACGATTATTCGAATAGGTTCATAGAAAATACAGTCCAACGATATTTTTTTGTAATAAAACACACACCTGCTTCCTCCCTTTCATCGAAAATATATTACTATAGTATACAGGGTGGCCATTTTCTGAATCTTTGTATGGGTAACTTCTACATTTTTAAAGATAGAGAATCCGTTGAATGGGCAAAATTGGGCAGAATTCGATTGCCTATGCATTACCGTTTCCAAAATTTAGGTACCCGACTTAGGTCCTGAAATATCCTGAAAAGGCAAGAAATCAACACTTTTTTAATTATCACTTATTACGTAAACTGCTTAACTTAAAAAAGTTAAAACTGGCCTTAGTACAACTTTTTCCGTTGAATCCAATAAACTAGCACTCGTTGTTATAGTCACCCTGATTTACGAGATAAAAAATAAACTTATGGTTTTTTTAAATAGTAATCATAGTTGGCTGTGGGCCTTTTAAAATCCTTATTTTTTCTGAATTTAACGAGATAATTGTTTGTATGTTTTTCTCCACTGCACTCTTCAGTATTCATACATAATTTTTATTCCCAATCAAGTATTTATAAATAAAACTGATAAATATAAATTTATTTTCCGAGTCAATTGCGGAAAACTCCAGAAAATTACGGATTTTCTCAGTTTTATATTCAGAAAAACAATTCTCTCTGAAATTTGAATTATGCTAAATATCACTTTAGAAAATCTTATCGTAGTTAAACAATTGCTCGTAGAAACCATTAAATACTATGTTACCTTCCGATAAAATGTCGGAAAAATATGGAAGAACGCTAATCCATAGCTTTGCCATAGAACTAATATTCACTTTATAAATTGCGTCAGACTGTATGTTTCTTGGCTACTGCCTATAGCAGATAAATAATTAATTATAAAAGCTGATATTGGCCATGTTTCTGGCCAACAAAATACCGGAAAATCCCTGATTTTAATTGCTTTTTGCTCAGGAACAGAAAGTCAGTATCTTGAGAAATTCGTATGGTAGGTAAGACATCACTAGTAACGACTATGAAATAACATGTTACTACCCTAGTTGTACGCTTAGAACTAGAAAGAGGAGAACACTTACTCTATTATTTGCGTCAGACCAATCGCTCCATAGGTATTTCTCATCGAAAATAAAGAATTTTTCATAAAAGCTGAATATTACCTTGTTAGTGGCCAACGGAAGACTGAAAAACCCGACAAAACCCAGAACGTCCATAACTTTTAGTACATAACTAACATGCAATTTATAATTTGCGTCAGACTAATCGTTCCTTGAGTATTTCTCATCCCAGATAAGGAATTATTTAAAAACCTAAAAGAGTAACAATTAGCGTACTTGAAATTTCAGTCAACCTTTTTATCAATAGAAAACTGAGCAAATCCCTAATTCTTTGCGGTTTTCCGAAATTCTATCGGAAAAGAATCTGATATTTATTAGTTTTGGTTATAAATATTGATTGGGAATACAAATTACACATTAATACTAAAGAGTACAACGAAATAAATTAATTGTCATTTTACCACCAAAAACGTTACGTTACGTTTTTCAGATTTTAAACGATTTTCGACACACTTTTTTGCTTAGATTTGAGTTCAGCAGGTTAAAATACATAACCAACATTGTTTGCGCAAAAAAATGTTCACTTGCTATACAGCTATGATTGACATTATAGCAAAAAGTCTAAAACACCCTATTTCCACATGAATTTTCCGGCTGTGGAAATAATTTTTAGGTCTTACTTATATTTTTCCTTTAATCCACATTACTTCAAGTATACTCGCCCCAAATTTCATCCAAATTAGTTGGCCCAATCTTGAGTTATTAGGTTTAGGAAAAATAATTTGTTTTCTGCACTGTACGCCAGTTGAAATATGCTTTCCGTAAGTAGAAACTTTTGGAGTTTCGAAATATTTTTTGTATTTTAAGTCTCCATAGAGAAAAAAAAACAAGGTAAGTAAATTACTATTGTCTGTCACGCTAATTGCAAAATTTCTTTGCTCTTTTAGTTCTTTAACTCGTTTAGTTCTTTCACTTCTGATGAGACGTAATAGTATAATAATAATATCTATTCACTTATGTAAATAATAGTAAAAAATAAAAATAGAGCAAAGCGAAAAAATACTATTATTGTTAGCAGGCAAGAGACGAACAAACTCTTAAAGACGACACTAAGAGTTAAAATTCAATGTACAAACTTTTTTCAAATTTATTTTAAGTCATGCAGGGTGAAGACTTTAACTCTAATACATTCACAAGCGGGCAGGTCAATAAATTTTCTGAAAATTCCCGAACACATCCGTTTCAGTTTAATTACATTTAGATAAATATCTATATCTAATTCTTCTAATAATCTAATTAGATAAATATCTATCTATATATATTATAGCTCTTCAGGGAGGTCTGAAACCGCCCTCGATATATTTTTTTATTGTGTCCCTTTGTTTCGTCACTCTTCATTGCAAAACTGGGGAAAAGAGGATCCATCATAGTGATTGTACGTGTCTAGATAATTACATTTTTATTAACTTTCTCAACAGTACCAATAATATGTACCTATATAATTTAATTGCTTTGTAAATGCCATCTGTATAACTTACGTCATTATTAACCTAAGCCACTAATTGACGGTTATTTACCGGAAACAGTGAATAGCAGTAAGGTTAGGTTAGTATTAAAAAAATCGATATATACTTTGGTTGAGGAAGCCATCCTCGGTCGGTTAATAATAGATGTGCTCGGTTAATAATTCCTACCTTACTTCTCATAGTATGCAATATAAGTGGGAAATAATACTATAATTTCGAGAGAAACCCATTTTTATTTTGCCCTCCCTAACCTTAGAAAATTCTAATATAGTACAAAGGCCAGCGACCATTTATGGATAAACAGGAAAGTGTTTTGTTTTTAGAATCCATTGGCAGGCCAGCTCTTTTGAGATTGTTTGAGGGAGAAAAGTGGACGTACTCCCTATTAAGAAAAACACCATGTATATTTTTGCAACTATTCGGCTTTTCATTGTAGAAACATTTACAAAAATTACTCAAAAAGTGAAGGAACTATAAACATTCAGAAAGAATCGTGTTTACGGTCACATGTTGGAAAAGTATCTTGTTGACTCTGAGCAGTATTTAGCTACTTTGTCCACCCTGAAGATTTCAGATTACCGTTTTGATGAGACATTTACCACTTATATGAGTTTCATAAGCTTCAAATACTTAGTTTTTCACTGATTTTTTTAGTTGACCTGCTTGATATAGTCTGCCGGGCCAAAGCTAAAAAAATGCATAATTTTGTCAATTCGGTTCGATAATAGTATGGTTAAAATGTCCGAAAAAAATACATTCAATAACTAAAACCTTACTAATTATTTAAGTAGGTACAGATCGCAAGATATGCTAATCTCAGACACCCCAGGTCAACTTTCTTGTTTGTTAGCTCTTATTAGTTGCTTTTAGCCTAAAAAGAACAATCCCAAAATAAATATTTAATTAAACCAGTTAATCAATTACTTAATTAAGCCAGAATCATTTCAGTTGCTACTTCCATTTTGTCTTGAGGCAAACATTATAAAACAAATTATGTTCTTCTGAGAGATAGTTTATTTGCTATTTCTCATTAAAAGTTTTCATTTTCATTTATTGCTCGTAAATTTGATTTGTAAGAGAACGAATATTAGCTGCTCACATTTACCTTCTAACCCTCTTTCCACCCAACTTTGCAATTTTATATCGCAACTGCTTAAACTTGCAACTGCTCACTTTAAAGAATTTGTAATTGTTCACATATATTTATATATATTTCCAAGTTGCATTCCATTTTCTCAATCAGCTATAGATTAATTAAAAATAAATTACTATGTACATTTCCAGCACGGTGATGAAGCGCAAACTATTATTTGTAGTATCTCTTTTTATATTTATTCAGCAGTATCAAGAAATTTTAACTGTTCCGGAATTACGTTTTTTGACGCCCACTTGTTTGTTTTCATTTTTGCGAAGTGATCAGTCAAGGAGCTTTTTGCTCATAGTATTTAATAATTTTTAAATATTTGTGCGTACCAGGGTTATAAAACATCGCACCGCGTTTTAAGTTCTCCGCAAAGACATACAGTATTGGTGATCATGTAAATTCAGAACCAGTTTCGGATCTGATCGCGGTTTCTTAAAAAAAATATTAACAGTTTATTCACAGTAATATGCACAAAATTATAAAGCTTTTAATTATATTAAAATATGTTTGTTTCCTACAGTACGGAAGCAATTTTGGATAAGCAGAATTCTTACTACTTATGAATAAATCATTAACGGATTGATGCAAATATTAGTGGTCTGCACTTCCAGACAGTTATGAAAATATTTATTTTCTTAGTCTTATAAATCTGGTAGACACTAGATTCAGTGGACACAATGAGCTCTATCTCTCGAGAATGATATGCAACAAAAACCATATTGTTTAAGACGTTGTTGAGAGGCAGAGGAGAAGGCTTTCTTCGCTGTGTCATAAATATTGAAGATGCCTATCAACGAATTAACGTAAACGTCGCGTGAATATTCTTATTAAAAAAGTAGATATTGTGCTTAGAGTTTTCTACAATGAAGCTATCTGTCAGCCTGTCCGGTAACTACCTTAAAAGATTGGTGATCAGATATATCTTGATTTTATCTAAGAGTGTTTAATCTCTAATTTGGTTTTATTTGAATTTGAATCTAACTTACTTGAGCTTAAATATCTAACGCACCTTAATACAATATGCTTTGAGAGACAATTAAAATTGCTGTTCTGCAATAGCCTAAATAACGGCATGTCTTAGATTAATATTTTCTTAATTAATAGTAATTATTACTGTAGGCGCCTTCAACGGGCGATAAAGTAATAGTTTTTGGAAATTAGCAATTTTTCTCACGGTAGAATTCAACAGTTTGGCATGCTGTGCTAGGCTAGCTGCCGAAAGTAACTGTTTTTTCATTTTGTATGCTTATTAAAACGCCTTTGCTTCCATGTTCCAATACTACAATATACTTTTATTAATGTTTCAATACATCAATCCTTTTAATGGGAGCATACAGAATGGGAGATTATAGTGATCCAGCTAATTTTCTCTACTTAAACAGAAAAATGCGTCAGAAAGTGTACATTTTCAATTTGAAATAGCCCGATTAAAGGTTTGGACCACTAAACTAGTATCAACTGCCTTTTTAGATCCCATAGTTAGATCAAGTAGGTAGTAAATTAGAAGCATTTTTATTGCCTGCACAGCCTTACTGAGCCACGCACGGGTCAAAATTTATTGAGAAACGCAGATGCAACGAGCGCATCACACTTGCCGAAAATGACTACGAAAGGTCACAAATTAATATTAATATTATCATAGAGCGTAAAAATGGTTCGACTTTAACACGTCATGAATGCCTGGCGACTGCGCCAAAACTACTAATAGGAATTTGCCAATCCGTGACTCGGATTAATCATGAATAACCCGTCGGGTCAAATTAGTGTTCGTTAATTCATATTTTCAAAAGACTAGATTATTTTCACTTCCAAAGAAATTGTGCTATGGAGGTATTCGTTCAGTAAATCGGTTTCTAATTTTATTTGTATGCAGCTTGCGTACTAAACAGATTGAACACCATCAGTTCTTAATTATAAGATAATTCTTCCACACTTTATCTTCGATGCAATTTTCATTTGAATTCTCTAGTTATTGTATTATATTAACATACAATTTTGGGGTGTCTCGAATAAATCATAAAAGCTTAAAACATTGTTAGTTTTTCAAGGGTTTTGGACCGTGAGAAACACATTTCCTTCTTGACGTTTCGCAAGTACGAGAGGCTTGCAGCTTCAGAAAGAGTTTGTTCAACTTCAAGCCGGGAAGCTTTTTCATAACTGAACTTCCTTTCACAACTAAACTTCAGTTTAGTGTAAGCGTTCGAGAGACGCACCTCGGAAGATGCAAGTCATCGATGCTTGCGAAACATCAGACACAAGTATAAACCACGGCACCTCAAAAGCCAGAATATCTCACCAGTTTTAAACTGTTACTTTTATTGAGGATTCATTTTTAAGCAATAAGTTTTGACTAATTTAAGCAAGAAAAGTTTCACGCATTGGCCGCGAAATTCTAACTTTTTTTCTCAACAGGTTAAATGCCAGAATCATTTACTTTAATACGAATACGTAAGTATGTCATTTTGGTTTGCCATAAAAGTTCGTCTTAAGTAAAAAAACCGTAAATTCAGTTTAGAAAACATTCATCATTTCTGGGTGATATCATTTCTTAGTCTTGGTATCAAAGCACCATGTACCGGCGCGTTCACTTCTGTGCTCGGCGAATAAATCAGAGAAACAGGCTCAATAAATATATTATTATAATATTATATTAAGAAAAAAGGTAAAGTGAATTTTGCACTTTCAATATAAGGCAGCATAATTAATTACAAAATTACAATTTTTAACATTATTGTGCATACATTATTTAATACCGATGAAAATGTTTGAATTATATTATTAGAGCAGAAAAGTAAAAATATTGTCCCAAGAAAACAAGTGCTCTAAATTCACAAACATTTTTTTGTTACTGTTACTGTAAATATCCTGAAGTTCTTCTTCAAACGACAGTCAATTTATGAAACTAAACCAAACAATATGGAAGATGCGAGTGTTTGACAAACATGTCTGGTCAACGTTTCCCACCCATATTTATGAAAAAAACTAAAACCACCGTCTTATTTGCGATTTGGTAAAGAATCTTTATACGCCATTCTTCGACAAAAGTTTAATTTTTGTTTGCTACTGCAAGCCCTGCTCATCACACTTCAAATTTAGGGCATTATATTTTTCCGCCATAACTGCAAAATTTGTGTCTGACGATTTCGTACTTGGCCGACTTTAGCTGTCCACCCTGTATATACAGGGTGAAGTTCGACTTTACAGTATATTCGCTCCACTTTACATTAAATTTCATGTTTTCCTAAATATGTTGTAACTTTTTTTCATAGCACTTACAAAACTGAATTTTTATTTAAAATATGTAATTTTGTTGAATTCGTACAATTTGTTTGCTCGAGTCCGACGCTTCGATCCTGAGACACAAAAAATTCGAGAATCTTGAAATTTTAAGATATTTGAAAATTTTTCGTTTCAGAGTTCAGATTTGTTATACAGCTGAACTTGTTCAGCAACTAAAAACAAAAACCTACAGCTTGATTTAGAAACATTTTTCCGTTGTTGTTTATTGTTCGAACTGTGTTCAAGTAAAACATGTTTATGATGTGATAAGAAGGCATCCATTGATCTATCCATTCATCCATCTCTCATGCATGTAATTTTTTTTGAAACTGAGTTTATTACTAGCCACATGATGAAAGTTTACAAGTTGCAACAAGTCATCGCAAAATTCTCAGCAGATTATAGTAGGATTTATTTTGAAACGTTTTCTCAATAAATATACTTTATACGTTAAAATAATATACATAATTCTATTTTTTTTAGATTAATATGAAAACAGATTGTAACTATTTATAAATCATGCTTTTAACTTAGTCTTAGTTCTGTTAGTCTTCACTAAACACTCACTGACGCACACAACTGTAGATATAAAAAACGAAAAGTTAATTGGTTGAAACAATCAACATCCTTTAAATCTGTAGAGGAATGTTTGCAGACCTACTTGAGTTATTACCAATAGTTTAAGTTTATCGATTATTGAAACAGTGTGCATATTAGAAACACAAAATATTATACACTAACATCAAGAATCAGTTTTTTGAAAAGAATTAGGTTTTCCGGGCATTTTGCTTGAAACTGGTAAGTTTTTCGGGATACTAGACCGTCCTGGTAAAAATCGTATTCACGTTTCGCAAGCATGAGGTGCATCCGCAGAGGTGTTTCGCTGGTAAACTTCCAATAGGCTGAAATCGTGTTTATGAATACAGTCCAGTAAAAGCTTGCGATCAAAAGATAAATAATTTCCCCGACGGCATAAAAGGTTCGAAACACTTTCCAGTTTCAATCAGTTTTCTGTTTGTACTTTCTCCATGCATTTAACCCTTATTGGATTGAAATTTGCACGAATACCTCCTGACAATAGTTGCAGTCTATTTCAACTTGCAACTGCAATATAAAAATCAATTTAGATGCCAAAAAGTCCATATATATATATATATACATATATTTATAAACGAATACTATTTGGTCCTGTTGTACGTATGCGACTGGGACTCGAATCGATAGCTATATAGATGATATAGATGAACTAATTTATTTCGTTGTATAATAGCAAACTGAAGTTAGTGATATTAACAAATTTGTGACTGCAAACTATACACGTCCGATTATTGAACGATGCTTGCTAACACATTGACCTATAAGGCTCCTCAATTATTAGTCCTATGTTTGTGGCATTGAATTCTCTAGTTTGTAATCGTACCTCCCGATCCTCAATGGTTCCGTCTATGCCCTTCCTCAACTTAAATGCTTACACCTAATTTTTTTTCAAAATAATGTGTCACCGTCTATTTTGTCTTATCACGTTTGATTACTTCTTGCATAGAGCGTTTGAATTGAACTCAAACTGGTGTCTATATATATATTTTGTTAGTCTGGTTAAATATATGCAAGAGGTAATTGAAAATGCCTTTTGTATAATGCCTTCAAAAAATTATGCAAATGTTTATTTGTCTGGCTATAGGCGATTTTCGCCAGTTGTATCCCAGAAATCATTGACTTGATCGGGACTAGACCAAAATATGGCGGCACCTTGAAGAATGAACGTGGCCGAAGGTGAGAAATACTAGAATTTGTTTTGCATTAGGACCAATTTAATTACTTTATGGTCCTTAGAAAGATGTGAAACGATACGATAGTAAATTTATGAATAAACTCCGAGACACGAATCAGCATTGTTTTGAAATAGCATTCTTATTACACTATATCATCGAACTTCGCTTTAAAGTCGACTTGAAGAAGGCAATGCTGAGTCGTACGTCCATGGCAAAACTCTGGTTTTCCATTCTTTAAAAATATTTAGTATTTGTTAATCGATGTGTGTACATGTCGTAGTCTCAGTGCTCAGTGGCTAAACATATCTTCCTGCACGCTTGTTATCGCCCCTATTTGTAATGCCATTATTTATTTTCATTATTGTGTTAGATGTGATTGAAGGTACCTTGTGTATTTATTTTCAGCTTGAGTTCTGTAAAACTAATTCCTGGTCTAAAACTGATTCTTCATTTTATTAGCTGTTAGCTGTGAAAAAACTTTTACTAAGTTTACTAATTAATGTCGTAGAAAAACTTTCCTATAGCAATCAGTAAGCCCATTTTACTGGTACAGTAGTTTTAATATCCGGTTATAACGTGATTAATCGATAGATGTGTTTTGCATGAACGTGACATGATGTGGCGTTTTCAAAAATCCATTGCATTACTTAAAGTAAACATCCTATACATTCTTAATTGGAATCTACAATGTGCGTGGCCAGGCTGTGGTTAGGTTCCCACTTTTAGATGTAAATATTGAAATTGTTACAACCTCATAGATTTTATTCTATTGTACAATTGTACATTTTAAATGCACAGTAAATGGAACCATTGTATTCCTATTTTTGATCGACAATTTCCAACGGTATTTTTTTGGCTAGTTGCATGGATTTACAAAGTATCAAAGTATTCAAATGAAATAAAATTACTAACTTTTGCTTAGATTTTTTCACGATAATCGCATTCATTCAACTAACTAGAAACTACGAACAAACGGCAACCCATGTTTTAATATATTTTTATGTGCAGGCACATTGTGGTTTGTGGGCATATTACCTACGAGTCGGTTTCCCATTTCTTAAAGGATTTTCTTCACGAAGATAGAGAAGATGTGGACGTTGAAGTGGTCTTTCTACACAGGTAAGTTACACGATTACCTATACTGGTTACAATCCTTTATTTCTTTGTAATTGCAAATGCGTTACCTTCACTGAAAATTGATTTGTTATTGTCGCATTTATTTGAGTATTATTATTTAATCCAATGCAGATTTTACCGCCAAATTCTAATCTAGTTTGCTGCCGAGCGTCAGACCGAGACTATTTTTCGATTCTCCTATGCGAAACGCTTCTTAATGAAACATAAAAGACTACTTAGATACAAGTAGAGACCAAGCAGTGCACTGTTATTGTGTGAAGCTGATAAATAATCTCACATCGCAGAGTTTCGCCCTTATGGATGCTTGTCAATATCTGGTTTACACTTTATGTAACAGAACATCTTCAATGGTCATTACTGAGCACGTTTTCAAAAAATACATGCTGCATTGAAAGGTTTATACGATTTCAAGTAAGAAGTACCTACCAAATATAGCAGGGTGGTTTCCCGGACGGAGTTCGGCGGAACACTAGTGTTCCGCTCGATGTGAACTGGTGTTTCGTGATAATTAGGAAAGGTTTATACACTGAAACACATTTAATAACACTTTACTTCACTACTTCACATTGAATAAAAAACGAGTTATATTATATTATATGTATGTAGATTCAATATATTTGAAAATAATTACTGAATAAATAATGTCTTTTAATAATAATAAAAAAATTAAATAGAAACCCACTTAAAATTAAACGAAGTGTTCCATGAATATATCTGAGTTTGCCTAGTGTTCCATTATAGAAAAAGTTTGAGAAACCCTGATATAGAGAGTCGGCCTTCCGCATTTCCAAACATAAAATTTTGTTTTTTTGATGTCACACGACTACAAAATCAAGCTGCAGTAAACAGTACAGTAACTTGTTTGTTACTACAAACAAGTTAACCCAATTACAATATACAGCTCACTTAAATCGTTAAAGTGCCGGAAGGACCAATTTGACAACAAAACGTGTACAAATTGCGTTGTGTTGGAAATTAAATATTTCGGTTTTGAACAATACAAATTTTTGACAGACCAATTGAAAATTAGTTTTGTTATTTCGAATACGTGGTTTTCAGACAACAGTTTTATCAAGGTATGGGCTGATCTACTTAGCAAATTTCGAAATGAGGCCTTTCTAAAAGTGGTTCAAAATGCATATAGCTAAGAAAGAGACGAGACAATGGAATGAAAGGACCTGCTTTGATTTTAATTTCAAATTATGCATTGAATTCTAATTGTGATTTAGGTAACATGTGTATACTGTGCTAAACTCAACAGTTACCCAGAATATTACGAATGGACCTAACAATAATTAATAGCGACGACTTCTTTAAAAAATTTCTAGTCCTGAAAATGGGGATTTAATTCAAGAAACAGAACAACAATCAAATAAAATATTCGAAATCTGGCCCATTTACGGATTAACAACATCCAAGGAGATCAATACATTCTTTTTACAACTTGTTATTTTAGTAAATAATTTTTTTACATCGTAAATTCGTCGAGTCCTGTTGAGTTTAGGTATAGGATATTATTAGGTTGAATTGGATAATTGGATGGTACAATGGATAAGTAAAAATGTAAATAAAAATAGGTGCTACCATTTGGAAAAATTAAATTGATGGTCGTAATTTATTTCTAGTTCATCCTGTATAAACAAATTTAACTTTCAAAAAAACTTATTTTAATAAAAATTGTAAAAAGTTTATACTGCAAATGTGTCTTTGATAGGTTCTGATGAGAAAATATGCGAATAGCTTTCCAGTGTTAGTGTGTTTACTATATGAGCAAATGGTTAATCAGTTGAATGATTTCCATGCTTCTTTAGGTTATCGCCTAAAATAATTCTGAGAAGCTGTATGCATTCATGTCGGACACTTTAGTCAACAACTTGCACAATATACGGCAAATGTAGTAGAAATTCTGATTTTCGAATCGGGTAAAGACGCATCAAGCATATTAATTATTAAACAAATACTTATCCAATGTCTACTAAATATTTTTATAAACAATGTTGAAATATGCGTTATATCAACATGCGTCAAGACAAATGTGAAAAATTTACGGACGTTTCAAAAAAGGTCAGTTAAGGGTGGAAGCGAGGCGTCGGTTATTACAATACTTTCCAGTTGTTTTCAGAACATTAATTCATTTAACACATTTTACGCCTTGTCAGTATGTGACACGTAGTAATAGACACCCTGTACACATAAAGAGTAACAGAAATATTTATTTAAAATCTTGTATGCTTCTTCTGTAAATTTATAAATTTATGCAGTGCTGCCTAGGGACAAATTACGGCTGCCCTCAAATAGAAAGCCTCATATTTTCAAATTCTATTGGCATGCATATGCTTACAATATACAGGTAGCGAGAGGTTCACGCTCTGAAAAATCGAAAACTAATATTACTGCTTTCTGAACGTATGTAGTTCTCAACGTGACCGAGTTCAATCAAAAAATATTCACATTTTTTTATCATGAACTGAAAAATAAAAGCTCAAATTTTCTGAGCAATCTGTTGCAAAGTAACGACACAGAGTCACCAATTCTTGGTAACAGACTACTTTTTCAACTGTTTAATAAAATTTTTATGTTTAATTTTTGTTTGCGAACTACTAGGCATGTCTTTTAACACGGTCCTACCCACAGTCGCGATTAAAACTGACCACACACTTCCACTTTCACGCACATTCGAAAGTGTGTCGCGTATTTTTTTCAAAGCTCTTTGCTTTCATAATAAACACATGAAAGGAGCATTTGATTATTTTCCTTCTAGGCACTATTAGCAAACATGTGTATGAGAAAAACATGAATATTTTGAGATTTTTAGCGCAACTTATATTTAACAATAAACATTGTTTAATTAATAATTAGCTGAAAAGATGTAGACTGAAAGCTATAGTTGATAGTGAAATTTGAATTTAAATATTCGATTACCCCTGATTTGTAGAAAAGAACCTGATTTGGAATTGGAGGGATTACTAAAGCGACACTATACAACCGTGGAGTTTTTTCAGGGTACCATGATGAACGCAGTTGACCTTGAAAGAGTCAAGGTATCGACTGGGTGTCAAATTCAATCAAATCAATACTGCTTTTATATATTCTTGTTTCGATTGCACAACGCCTACTTTTTAAGTTTTGCAGAATCTTGCATAGTAGCTGCATGGTAAAACTCAGAATTCCAAGTTTATTATTATTAGACGCGTTCTTCGCGATATGTGCCTTTTTATATTTATTTTACATTTTATATTGTGTTTCAATTTTTTGGGAATGTATAGGAAGCCACCCGATCTCGAACTGGAAGGTCTGTTCAAGAGACATTTTACTACCGTCGAATTCTTCCAAGGTACCATTATGAATCCCATTGACCTGCAAAGGGTTAAGGTAAGTGTACTATCACACCGACACATTTTATTCCAATCTTTTTGGTGCCTGCTATTTACAATTTTGCGGCAACCATCATTTAAGTACATCTTGTTAATTATCGGGTAACAGTATATTTGCATTTCACGCAAACATTGGGTTCTGCGCTTAAAAAGGTGGTTCACGTTTTTGTACCAGAACTTTGATAGCCGACGGAAAAGTCCAAGGAGTTAGGTTTTAAGTTCATTCCCTTTAACATGGTAATAAGTTTATTGCCATAATTTTTCTTAAATATTCAGTTAATGCGTTTAAAAAATTAGAACATTTAATTTTCCATCAACCGGGATATTGAATAGTTGAGTAGTATCGGTTGTTTATCGGTAACGAATTTTTACACAACTGTCTTTTTCACCGTGCATTTTACGGTTTTGACTGTTTACTTGTTGGTGGCGATAAAGCTTGAGGGAAGGTATTTGTTAGCATAGCCTACCATGATAAAATAAATAACTCAAAAACGAAGGCAGATACGAAAAACTGCAAGACACAGAGAAATTCTTAAATTGAACAATAAATTCAAAAATTTGTTCGGTCGAAGTCACTGGCGCACCACAAAAAAGTTCGGGGGGGTAAAAGGAGGTATGCATCTAGAAAAAAAAAACGTCCTGTAGATTTTCACAACCAGTTGGCTTACCTACGGGTAAAGGGTCTAAACATTAGCCTACGTTAAAAATTTGAACAAAATATCTCGTAAACTGTAGGAGTTAAAGAGAAAATACCAACATTGTTTTGAAACTTTAACACCCTGTATCTCGTTAACCATGGGTGTGACAAAAAAACTTAAATGGAAACTCGACTTGTTTTAATGTCCTCTATACGCCTCTGCTCTGCATCGATAAGGTTGTGAATAACCCTGTATAACTTGTTTAAATTGAAAAGTGCTTAGGGGTGTTTATGAATATTAACATAATGCAAAATGGCTAATACATGAAATAACACTTAAAAATCCAGACAATTTAGAAGAAGCATTAGTACTTGTAATTATTTAGGTTTGTGGGTGGTGGGTGCTAGTTTGGACCATCTTTATAATAGATTAGTATTTCTAACCGAAGGAGAAAATTTAATGAATAACAGTAAAATAAAAAGGCAATGACATAGGTCCATAATGCATTCCTTCAATAATAATGTTTGCCTTCGTTGTGCATTATTTTTATCAATACTCATGCCCAATTAGATTTTTGTCAAAGTTCTACATATAACATATAATTCTACTGTATAGTAACAAATTATTTCGTGTGGTAAGACAACTTCTTTCAAGAATCTATCCATTGTATTTGCAGCCAAGTGACAGATGGTATTTTTTGTTTTACTTGTTGTTGACTCGTCAAGTTATTTCGTTGTAAGTCATGTTTACCTATATGATTTCTTTAATTTTTTGACTTAGACTTACTTTCATACTTAACACTAAATGAATTCCACATAATGTTGAAATAAGAACCACCATCCAATGGTTCATTTTGGACAATATCGAAAAAATTACATTGAATAAATTTAGTTTAAAATAACTTTTAATAATTTTTTAATGGTTTAATAAACTCTTTTTCTTTAGTTTTTACTAACTAATTGTTGAGCACAGTAAACATTTTGTTTTTGTTTTAATATGCATCTGTAAGACAAAGCTCTAGTTGGGTTGCTATGAAAGCTATTTCTTAAAACAAGTTTTTCTGTAGACGACTAAAGTTCTGCTTCAAGGAAAGTGTGCGCACCTGCATAGCAAAAACCTTATTTTCCAAAAAAATGTGCGTTAAAATATGTAAACATTTAGTCTAGTTTTATTAGACTTTGTTTCGTACATCCTAGTTAAATTGGGTTTATTATTTGTTAGAGGAAAAAGGAGTTCAGTAAGCCTTCTGTACAGCATTTAGGAATGTTTTCCGGGCTTTGAAGCCGTGGTCTATCGGAATTTCTTCCTGACGTTTCGTCCACAACTGCGTTGGACATTTTCAAAGGCGATTAGGCAGTGGGCTAAGTGATCTCCCGTGCTTTCCGACTAAGACTGGCCGAAACGTCAGGAAGAAATTCCGATAGACCACGGCTTCAAAGCCCGGAAAACATTCCTAAAGTAATTTAACCGGCCGTGAAAGCCTTCACTTCTGTACAGCTCTACTAACTAGAGAATATTTATTATAGGTATACCTAAAATATGTATGTTTATTTGAGAAGATATTTTTGTGCATAATACATACTTTATTTTGTATGCAGACAGTTTCTAATGTTCCCGTCTTCAGATTTTGTAATAATGCTGATTGTTTTTTAAATCACGATAAATACTTAATGAGAACAATTATTAATAATTGGCACTATCAAGTTGTTTACTGATCATTAAGATGTTACACTCAACTCATTACAATACTCTCCTTATATATTTCTGAATATAAGTTTTCTTCGTCTAATGCTCTAACACAAAGCAATTTACAAAAATTCAATATTAAAGGACCATGGCGAACATGGTAGGTTTTGCGCAACGAAACAGCTGCAGATTTTTTCGTCATGTATGTATTTTTCTTTTATTTTTTTATTGTCCGTTAATAGTTCTTACACATTTTTTATTGAACACCGACCGCCCTTAGAATTATAGAAATCGTCACATGTACAGGGTATCTTTGTTCCTAGATCAGATAGTTCTTGAAGTTGAAAAAAATAATAGTTGTTAGCAGTTCATTGATAGACAATCTTTTTTGAACCTGATTCAAAATAATTGACTGTTACGACAGCTGCCGCCATGCAATTAACAGATCTGGATTTATACAAAAAAAATATAATCAAAATGGTTCTTTCAACAGGGATGCCCTGTATATTTGCCAATTTAAAATAAAATGTCACGAGCAGTAAGTCATTAATCAATATCTAAGGAAAAGGAATAGAGCCAGTGCGGGTAAGTTGGCTCCCCAACAAAGTTATTTTGATCAGCGTTCTTATTCTGGAAATAGATTCGTTCTGCTTGCATGCCAATAGATTATTTCATTAGATCCATTTTAAAAACACTTTAAAAGCACATATTTAACTTTGATAACAATTGTTATTCACGATGTGTATTTTAAATTGTTTTCCAATGATAGGGAATGTTAGAAGTTAGCATGCAGTTACGATTTTTATACTAAGCAGACATGGTTACTTACATTTTATTTAACAGTTACGCAAACGTTCCTAATACGCCGCTAAAATGGCAATGCAATTATTAAAGTCGACTTTATTAATGGTATCATTATCGCTCCCTATACATACATTAGAGAAGAAAGGGGCATGTCGTATTGTCTCAAAACAATCCGCAATAATACATATCCTGAAAAGTATTCGAAAATTTGAAACACATATACGTAACATGATACTTATCGCTCTGTAGCCTAATAATCAAAACGTTTTCGGACTTATTTTTATATACATTTGTGCTTTTTTTTTCATATGGATATTCCATATATTCTTCTAATAGGCTTTAAAGACTTTTTTTCTCATAAGCCCCCTACTTATCACTGTTACAATTTTATAATCTACTCTAAACGAGCGGTGTTTCGTTTTCCATACTAACGTTATTCTTGATTTTGATTATCAACTGTTAATTTTTCTTTTGAATTGTACTAGGAAGCCAAAAGATACGGATTCTGGTACATATTTTCAAATTTTCAAAAGAAACAGTCGCAATTTGAAAATGCCAAAAAAAAAGATGGAATAACTCCCAAAAAACAATAAAGTTGATTTTAATAATCGTTTCAATCACAAAAATGGTGATTTAACTAATTAGTACAAGCAACTGTCTTAACCAAGGGTTATAGCTAGATAATTAGTAATTATAGCTCAATGTTTCTGATTATGTGTCTGTTTTTAGGTACACGAGGCAGATGCCTGCTTAGTACTTGCTAACAAATACTGTCAGGATCCAGACGCAGAAGACGCAGCCAACATAATGAGGGTTATTTCTATTAAAAATTATAGTGACGATATTAGAGTGATTATTCAGTTAATGCAGTATCACAATAAGGTAAGCTAATAAACGTAATACTCCATTATCGAATTGCTTTAACACAACCCAATAAGTATTATGCATTAATTATTATCACGCAATCAATACATTTACTTCCTCAAAACTTAAATTAAACAGTTGTTAGATAAAAATGTAAAACATCAATTCCTAAAAATATTCACATTATGCTAACAAACTGAGTTTGTAGATAATACTTTACATTGCATTTCTCCTGAGGTTTACTCATTAATATACAACTAAAATCAAATAATGCATTCCGTATATCATTTTGAGCTCCGTAGAAGCCACCATCAGCAATTCTTTTAAATTTATGATTATAATTCACAATAGGGTCGTTCCACTTTTTTTTACTTATAAGTTTAAAAGCACACAAAATGCGCCGAAACGACGCGTTTTTCTCTAAGCGTTATGTGACGTAGCAGGGTACGTTTCAGCTTGGCCACGTTCGGCGCTTATCCGTGTTGTCTTGTTCTAGAGTGAATTTCGTCCTTCGCTTTGCTTGTTTATCCATTATTGAAAATAAAATGGTTTATAGAGACTGTATACTGTCACAGTGGGTAACTTGTGATCCCTTTTTTTGACAGTACAACTTTTTTAAATTTGCTATAGGCGTTTTTCTAAATAATCCGCACGCTAATGTTTCAAGAAGTTTCAGCCAAAGAAACTAAAAAATATGTACAAAGGGATGCAAACTTTAAAGGACTGTTACGCATAAATTTTGAGGTATTTCAGAGATACAGCGTTGAATTTCATCTTTTAAGGCTCCAATCGTTGTTGGTTTGTTCACATAAACTTGTGACTAAAAAAACCCAAAGAAAAAAGTCCAAAGACGTTAAATCGCATGATCTGGGCGGCCAATGCCGATCTCCAAAACGAGACATAACACGATCACCAAATGACTCGTGAAGTAATTCAACAGTTTCTCTGGCTGTATGGCATGTTGCACCGTCCTGTCGGAACTACATGCTGTTGAGATCCACATTTTGCAACTTTGGCAGAATACAGTTAGTTGAAATTTACTAACGGTTAATGCTTGATCAACTGCATTTTTGCTGTTAATGCTGACTATTTTTGTATGCATCTGTTTCTGAACGATCACTCGTGGATTTTCGGAACCCTAAATTCGACAATTCTGTCGATTAACGAAGACGTCAAGATCAAAATGGGCCTCGTCACTAAAGATTTTTTTTTTAATTACTTGAAAAATTGTCGTTGTTCCAAAATCCAATCAACAAACACTCTTCGTTGCCCATAGTCTTCCAGCTTTAGCTCTTTAGCCAATTCAACTTTGTACGCATGAAGCTTTAAATCTTTTTTTAAAATTCGATCCATGGTGATTGCGGAAACATGAATTTGCTTAGCTCTATACCGAATTGATGTTGTTGGGCTTTCCTCAACATTTGCACATACTGCTGCGATATTTTCAGTCGAGCGACCAGGACGAACGCTTGTTTCTGTTTTCACTTCATTAACAGACCCAGTTTGCTAAAATTTCTTCACTCATTTTCTCACAGTGGCTTTAGTTGGAGCATAGGTACCGTGGCCGCAAAACTTTTTCCAATTTGATAATCACTTTTCACAATGAAAATTCGTTGTTGTGTATTGAACCGCTCCATTTTACTTAACCTCCTGCTGTCTACTAACGAAAGGCCTTTCTTTTAATGTCAAATCACAACACTTCAAATGGCGCGCCATTCAAAATCGTTCTTTTTGGAACACCCTTTGGTTCAGAGAAACAATAATTTTTATTATATGTTTGAATGTTTCTCCCAATTTTAGAATGACCCAAAATTAGAATGACATTATTATCTCCAAATCTGTTGACAAGCCTTTTCAGATTGTTTTCTGTGTCAGCTTTTACTTCAGTTTTCGATGCGTTGGATTCCGTTTATAATTCAGGTATTGACTTCACCAAATCAACAATCTTATCGTGTATACATCAAGGTGTTTTCAGAAAACATTCAGTTATCAGATATATTTTGTAGGTGAATTGAAGTTTGGTGGTTCTCAACCAACCAGAATTCAAACGGAACATATCGTATGTATTGAAATGAAAACGTTTCCCTAATAGAATTGTCTAACAAACTGCCTTGATCAATAAATTATTATTTAATGTATCATCGTTTCAGGCTTACCTACTTAACATTCCATCTTGGGACTGGAAACAGGGTGACGATGTTATATGCCTGGCTGAGTTAAAACTAGGATTCATCGCTCAATCCTGTTTGGCTCCTGGATTCTCTACAATGATGGCTAATTTGTTCGCTATGCGATCATTCAAAACTGTGAGTATTTAGATAACTTTTTGAATGAAACACATTCGACTTATGGATATCCAATTAGACCACAGTTATTTTGATGCTGACCATCAATAGCAGAGCAAATGAGGTAAAAAAAAAGATATAGCAAATCAAGGGATATGCGAATAGAATAGGGCGTTTTGAAGTAACATATCGTCCTATACAATAGAATTGTAATACTGATATGTACTTCTAGTCGCCCGGGATGCAAATCTGGACCAACGATTACTTGCGTGGCACCGGTATGGAAATGTACACAGAAACACTCAGCCCCTCATTTATTGGTATTCCGTTCGCACATGCGGCTGAGTAAGTCAATGCAGACCCTTTTTGAAGGAGTTCTACGACTGCACTCTTATTTGTTTAATTATTGTTCGTTCTTGTTTATCCCGAGTGTCTCTCCAAGTCTATCGAGTGGTCTTTTCTGATTTTTTTTTAATAAAGAGATGATGTTATTGCAGTTTGCTAGGTTGTCTGTCTATCTAGTAGATAGTAATTTATTTGGCTGATTAATTACTAACAGTAGTAATTAAAGAGTCACAAAGACAAAGACAAAGTCAAATGAAGTACACAACTTTAAATCCCTTTCAAATAGCGCTTTCCTAGGATGTCACAGCAATAGTTCTGAAAGTGGTTCCACGATTCTATCTAACGTTAAGAATATGTTTATGTTGCCACCATTAGCTTCGTTGTTTCTTATTGTTGCTCCACGCGACTAATTAACATTGTAGTTCACTGCTTGTGATTTGTCAGCTCAATTTCCATAACACCCCACGCAAAGGAATCGCAAGGTTTGAGGTATGGCGACTTTGACGGCCAAACAAGCTTTTCGGAATAGCATTGTATAAAAAATTTCTGTTGCATTCTGTAGAAACCACATGTCTCGTCGAATAAGCAGCGGCACGTCTTATAAAGTCTTAAGTAAAAGAATAGCATTTATTTTGCAAGAAATATTATCAAATTTCACTCCTAAATAAATTTCACTCCACTAAAATGTGCAACCCAACAGATAATCCGTTCATAATTCCTATCCTTACATTTATGGAAACTTGAAGTTGTTCATTCCATTTCGAGAGAACCATGCGTCGTCGGTGATGGGAATTTGGCTTAAACCGTTCATTATGCTCGTGCTGTTGCGAATTCATTCAGGAAATATCGAGTAAGCTTTCAAGCTGTAGGTGCTTGGACACACTGAGAGTGAAAATGATCAACATATCAGCAAACTGCAATGTGACATCTCCTCTACCGTTTACATACTAAAAGGAATGTATTATTTTATTTGTAAATAGTCCAAGTCCGATTCTGCAAATTAATCCGATGGTGTCTAAAGTGAAATTATAACACGCAAACACTGAAAATGTTTCCTTGCTCTGCTCAGTGACGCTACATATTTGATAATTTTCAGCAAGCTTTTGTGATATATCTGCTGTTGGTGTTTATTCTTCGCATGAATCGTAAATCTTCTAGAGGTACCGGTTAGTCAAATAAATTCCAGATGTTGCAAACCTGGATAGGTTGCTCCCTTCAAAACTGCATCCGAAAATCGGTGCAAATGTTTTCAAATTTGTGTATCTTATTTCCATGAAATTACGTATTTTAACTGTAAAAACGAGAATCGGTGCCTTTTTTCAGTCTCCGGACACTCAAGTATGGCAGAACGATTATCTTCAAGGAACGGGGTGCGAGATGTATACCGAGACTCTGTCCCCCTCGTTCACGGGCATGACCTTTCCCCAGGCTAGCGAGTAAGCTTTCCTATCATTTTAAACACAGGCATTCACAATATACACTAACCGTCGGTATTTTTTAACCGCAACAGCATAAAATGCATTGGAAATCAGAAAATTTTATTTACTACAATTATCACTACACTAATAAACTTTCAATCTATTCAAGAAAAGATAGACTAGTAGAAACACATGTGTTCTGTGGGCTTCATAAAAATGTGGTCACGAGTTCGTTTGCGAATTTAAGTGTTTGCTACTCTTCCAACATGCTAATTAAGACAAGTCTGAATAATATTTAACAATAAACCAACAAACAGATACAAATTTTCATATACCTATTACAGATTGATGTATGTACCCTATCATTATTAATAATATTCTAATTATTCTTCTAAGTAATTTAATTAGATCAAATTTCATTGAATCACGAAAACAACACATATTTCTATTTTCTAGTCATCCAATTTCATATTTCAAAGCGTGTTTTCTGATCCGAAATGTATCAAAACAATCAATTAAAATATTGTGGCTCATACGCATATTGCTGTAGAGTAACTATCTCCTTAATTACAATAATTGTTGAAGAATATTTTCTAAAAACTCTTGAACGACACTGGTACCTAATACAATTAAACGGATACAGGTTGTTTCATAAGTCAAGTAAAGAAAGTGATTGAATGTGTATTTGGAGATGCGATTTAACTTGTTATTAATTAATCAATCAATGTTTTAAGTTCAGTTTGGACTATGGAAAAATAATGGCCAGATAATGGATACTTATTGGGTGTACACGGTGTAAATATTAATTAGAACCGATTGATATTCGACAATGTGAATTCAACCCGTTGCTTTGCAGCTCTTTAAAATCCCGAACTTCATTTCATTTAACTAAGTTTTACACTACGTTTGCTTTGTTGATGAAATTGAAGATTGAAATTAAACGAAAGGCAGGTTTCAGAAAGTTAATCTTTTTGCAAACGATTTCAAACTGTACACGATCTATAGCAACTCAATTGAATGCAAAGAATATAGGGGATATACACAGGCCACGTCATCACAAACCACGTCAAAGGAATCGCATCGAAAACTGTTATTGTTTCTCAAAAAACTAAACTCAGTTCAAGTTAAGGGTTTATACCCTGCTTTCTGTAAACTGGCGCCCCATCCTCCATTATCTATTCATCAATCATCAAAAAGCACACACTACACTTATGGTTATGAACAAAAACGCATTCAATATTAAGGTGTTTATCACATTAAAAACGCACCGAGCTGTAGAACTCACATAATGGTATAATCGTTTGTCTGCTTGATTTTTTGCTTTGCTGTTCGATTTCAATTTTTTTCTTATTGGCAATTTTCAATAAATTTCCAGTTCAGAATCCAACTGGGTTGGATATTATTTAGCGTGAACAAAGTTGCTTTCTCGGTCAAAGATAACAAACATTGCCGATCATGCGGTGACTTTTGTATGCTAAATTAAATACTCGCTCTCCGATCAATCTTTTGCTCAATTTTTATCAAACTAGATCTGCTGTGAGAGGCTGCACAATTGTTAGCAAATCCACCAAATACAAAGTAAAGCATTAACAGCCCATGTTTTGAGAATACTTCACTATGATTGCACTATTAAGAGAACTCTCAGATCAGACTTTTGCTCCATTTTTTTATTAAACTTTGAGTTCAAACAGCTTGATATGTTGTGCAATGGGCTTTCAGACCAGATTCACATTTAAGTCAGATTAGGATTTATGAATGTGTTCCTTTACTCGCATCATTATAAGCAACCGAATAATTAACTAACTTAAAATGCTTTCAAATTCTATATTTTAGTATTGAATTTTTAAATATAATTGATAAGTGTGGAAATTTACTTTTAGTAAAAACTGAAAAATTTTCACAAATTATGTTTTATATAAAAAAGGCGCAGTTTAAGGTTCTGGCCCTAGATGACTAGAGCTGTATTGCTCAACTGGTTCTCTAACAATGAGCCAACTCATGGCTTTTTTGAAAACCCGCAGAATTTTGGATTTTGGAAGTGCATTTGATTTAATAAGGAGATATTTAAGGTTTTGCATTTTAAATATTTAAAAAACATGGCTACGTACTATTAGACTAATTTTAATTTTTTTATATATTGAGAAACAAACTCAGTTCCGTATTTCGTATGGAAGCTTTGCAGAGTAAGTGAGAGATTTGAGAATTGTCATTTGAGTCAGCTGCATATTTGAGAACGTCAAAAACTGATTCACTTATCCATTTCACATATAATTTCTTTCGAACCAATAATATAGACATTATGATGATATGTAATGTTTATTAAGCATTCTACATCCTATTGAAACCATTACAATCATTTTGGTTAACTATCTTAACGAGAGATTAATTACCTATTGTTCCCAATACCCCTAATCTTTTCGAACGTTATGTGTAAAATAAAAAGTTTGTCCAAAATGTATGTTAATGTTCTAAATTAATTTTTAAATGTAGGGTCTTGCGTAATAAGGGTATAAATAACATGATTTTAATTATTAAAAGCAGCGATTAGTTTCGGTTAGTTACTGTGTACTTAGTAGTAAAAATTATCTATGCTTACCACTATCCATTTCGTTTTACCCCAGTTCATAATTAATCCGACAGCTAGACGTTTTTTATTCATTTTATGAAAGAGTCTGCTATGATCAATTGGTAGTCTCGGTGGGTGCTCTTAGAGATACGTGCGTTAACCTTTCTGGCTGTATGTACAACAGTAATAGTTCAAATTAATGGGTTTTCGAAGAGAATTTAATCACTGCTTATGAAGTTGTATATGATTGTGAGTGATGAGATGAGTTTCTAACCCTATCTATATTGCTGAAATCAATTTTAGCATGTGAACTTTACCAGCGGCCAGAGTCTTGGAAGTCAGTTTTCATGTATTATTGTAATAAAGAAGATATTGCTTTACCGCCTTGTTTAAAGGATAATATACCATGTAGATGTTAATTCTCGGAAACATAATACCAATTTCATTTGTCTCAATGTAGATTTTGGATGTTAGTTACTTGCATTTTTATTAAATATACTACTTAGATCTTATAATTTAGCTAATTTTTGATTTAGATGGTTTCTTAGCCAATGGTTTCTATTGCAGCTCATAATATTGCAAAGCAAATCAGAAGTAATTTTATTAGATGTGCCTTAGCAGGATGGGCAATTTTACAACACAATTTTTTGTACACAAAACCAACCTTTTAAAGCTTGCAGAGCTATTTTTTAATTGCTTTCTTTTGTTAACGCTTCTGCATGGTATGGTGCATGTAAATGTCTGTAATGTTCTTAACAAAATCTGAACTTATTTAGGCAGTATTCTAATCATTAATTAGACCCAAATTTTACAGCCGATATATATTTCAAGTTGTTGTGGAGTCAAGGACAATAAGTCGACTTATATTAAAATTATTTTCCAACATATCGAATTTAACATAAATAAATTTTGCATTTACGATTTATTTTCGGATTTATTTGGAAGATTTGGCAAGTAGCACATTATACTTCACCCAATTCATATCGAATACATATAAAATATTAGTTAGCAACAGAGAATCAAACTGAGTTGAGACTTCGCCAATTTCTCTTTTGTTACAATTTTCCCAGTTTTTAAGTGAAATAGAAAAATTCAGTCTTTTATCCCGCAGACATATTTAACTGACGCAAAAAGCCATTCCTTTTTAAATAGAGCGCTTAATTGCATAGCGACTTAGAAGCAATGTAGCTACGATTAAAGAACACGATTGTTTCCGTCTAACGGATGTTTGCTTTAATATAGGTTGTGCTTCACTAAACTGAAACTGTTGCTGTTGGCCATCGAGGTCAAGGGCGTAGAAGGAGCAGACACCAAAATCTCCATTAATCCAAAAGGGGCAAAAATTGTTGCCAACACCCAAGGCTTTTTTATAGCTCAATCTGCTGACGAAGTGAAAAGGTAACCTGTAGTTTGCTAGTGTTTGACCATATTGTAATTTCAGTACTTTAGGGCTTGGTTTTACTGCAAAGCCTGTCACGACCACATAAAGGATGAAACCCTTATAAAGAAGTGCAAATGCAAAAATTGTAAGTATACTTTCCATAAATCAGCTTTTATACTGGAATATTCACTGGTTTTCAGTGACCAAATAAAAATGTTTTCTCCTTTACTTTTAGTCGCTCTGATACACAGACGTAGATTCTGATTTCCGTCTATGTATCTTGTCTCTTCTACTTGTCTGTATCTGTTTTGCAAAGGCAGAACCACTTTTCTAGCTGTTTTCCAATACGCCCCACAATTACTGCTCATAAAAGTGGTTCTACTTGCATACAGGATGGCTAAATAAAAACGGAATATCAGCTGTTTCGAGCGGTTACAGTATTAAAAAAGCGCTCGGACATCAATTTTAATTCCCAAGCAAAAACGCTAACCTACCCTGAAAATGTTAAATGGAATATTGTGTATAATTACAACTTAATTATTATTTTTATTATTATTATTAATTTTATGTTAAAATATTTTTTGATTCTCTTTGCTGCCATGTCTAGTTTCAAAAATTCTACTTTAGCGCTTCTTCAACAATTGGCTTTTAAATATTTAAAAACTTTATAGGAGAGTGGTAAACTTTGTAATCAAAACAACTAACTTGAGAATGAAATTGAGTATTGATCTGAGAAACAAATGTTTAACAGTAAGCTCGGGTTATTTAATGCTTTTTTACTGATTACTTCACAAAACTCTGATTGTGATTATTTATTTCATGCATCAGTTTTATTTTACAGGAGCCGAATTAATATTCTAGATTTTTTACATACTGCCCGCTTGATACCAAATACAGAAGAACATTTTCGGGTGCTTCGTGTTTAATCTAAATGCTATCACATCGTTCCTGAATAGTATTTCAACAATCCTTTTCTTATTAGCGTCTAATTTTTCGGAATTTTGCAATCAAAGCAACTTTTTCTTTTTGGTGCTATTCTTATGTGTCACTGGCTTTTTCAATAAGATGTATTTCAGATTTTTACGTGGCAATAAAGCAATTATTTCATTTGTTCTTTCGTTTAAATGAAAAGCTCGGTGGTCCGTGATGAATTATTTGCAAAAATACTTTTTCAATAAAACGATTTCTATTCCGTCTTGTTTAAAAACATCTGAGCTCCAATTGAAACTTGTTTATTTAAATATCGATTTGATTGACCACATTTATAGTTTTTTTCAGTTAAGCAAGTTAAAATGCCGTCAAACGTACCTCAATTGAAATAGGGATTTTTCAAAGAATGGGGATTCTTTTTAAGTAAAATTGATGAAACTTTGAGTAGTCAATTGTGCGAGATAATTTCAACTAGCGTTAGCAGAGAAAAGAATCGCAAAACCTTTTCAAGTGTATTTCGCCTCAATATTCTGTTAAAGGTTTTGTGCCAACCTGCCTAAGGGATGCAATATTTTAAGAACATTTCCCAGTGGAAATGAAAATTGCCGGGTCCAAGCGTATTTCTTTATACCATAAAGGCTTGAAATAAGTGCTATTTCGTTTTCGTTTAGCCTCCTGTATATCATACATTGAAACCGATATCAATCCCATTTAAAATTTCGTTTCTGATGACTTTTAGTGGCACAACAACGTAACTGGTCCCACGATCTAGGTAATTCATGATCTATATATTGACTCTAGATCGATCTAGATCTTGCTTGCGGATCAGCTCCATTTTGTTTATTGTTCTCAATTTACTATATATCCTCAATTAGACACAATACATCTTAAATAAAATAAGCAATACTTAATAATTCATGAAGGCTTCAAAGAAATTTCTAAAATAGATTTTAATAATTTAGCTGAACCAAGTTCGTCTAAAAATGTAACTGAATACTCTTAAACAATGCTATTGTTTATTTTATTCGGAGGATTTGCTACATTGAAATTTTACTGTTGCCCTTTGCATTGAGTACACATGTTTATATATTCCTATTCACTTCTTAGTCTACTTATAATGACAAGTTGCGTAGCTTTTTATCATTGCAGTTGATTTCGAACTTGGAAAATAAACATTCGTAGATCTTTCACAAACTGCACATTGTTTTTTCTCGGCGAATTTTTCATTACATTTTTTGATATCCTTCTGTATCTAGGCTGTAAAATCGCTGACAAATTTTTGCCTGCATAACGGAATGTATATTGACACACATTCTGTACCCTTTTGCACATTAAATGCATGGCTAAGTTAACATTCTTTTATATCGACTAGGTTGACTGACTTCTCTTTCAATCTGCTCCATTGTGGTGAGGAAAATACATACATTTCGATACGAATTGAAATTAGAATAGTTGATTAACAACCAATCACTTTTCGAAAGTGTAAGTTATGCATGCAGATATGCAGATAGCCGCGGAAAAAAGAATTTAATCAATCAACCCGTGATTTATTGCAGAAAATAATACGACTTATGATGATATTACTTTGCACTTAGAACCCTTCATGTCGTGTACAGGATATCAAAGTTCAATTTTTAAACTTGTCTTTTGCTTTACTGATAGTACTCCTCAATAGACGCACTTGTAATTTTATATTTGGCTTAACAAGTCACAAATTATCAAATAGAGTAAATCATGAGATTTCTAGCCTTATTGGCATATGAGCCAATAATTTCCAGAAATATGTTTTGTGAGCTTAGTGAAAATTATTCCTTTATTTTTTCCTTATGGTTCTTCATAAATATCAATTAAGTACATTCTACTTTTTAGATATAGTAAAAACGGTCCAGGTGATACGATCATCTTTTTATGGCTGTCAAAGCATTCATATTGCTATACGTGTAACATGTTTTCTCAATTTTACCTAAAAACTTTTACCTGACCTTACAACAACGTTAATGATTTCAAAGAGAAAATTTCAAAACAATAATAAAAAATCCAAAATTTTCGGTTTTTGTTAAATTTATCTATGCCAACATAGACCAACAAATAGATTTACCAAATGTAATGATACCACAAAGATGACATTGGGGACATTTTTAGAATAAAAACCAGTTCTTCTCTTAATCATTATCAATGCAATTCCTCTCATTAGGAAACTTTGGTCATGAAATATTCAATGCAAATAATTCGTAACATTTGTAGACCACAGTGTCGGTACACATTCTGAATCCGAATACAGTTTGCAACCAACAGGATGCCAACAATTCTAACGTATTCGGAATATTGCAAGTTGCTGAAGTCCTTATTATGAACTTAATAGGAAGGGTGCTTACAACACCTTAATTACAACTTAATTGAAAATAGAAGGGGTCCAATTTAAAAGAAATGATATGATCCAGATGTACTATTTTCCGCAATAAAGTTATTGATGCCGATTGTTGCAGATACTTTGTATGATCATGATACAAATATTTAATTATATATTAAGCTTGATCCACATTCTGCTAAGGATTAATTTGAAGATTTTATTTATGGTATTATCTAAACAGTCAGTTACTCAAATAACTGTTTATGGACGGTGAATACAGGCTGTTCCAACGTAACCCCGCATTATCGATGAGTTTCCTATCAGTGCACTGATTACTTTGATCACTTGATCATATGACCTACTATTTCATGATAATTCTTTAGTTTACCAAAAAATGTAAAGTGTTTTCCAATAAGGACGATATGCTTTTAAAGTGATATAACATCAAAAACATTTGAGATAAATGTAGACTTTTATTTAGTGCAACGGAAGGGCAAGGTATGTCATTAGTTAAAAAAAAACACTTCATTAAAATCTCCACCACAGTTTCGATTCCTAGAGCGGATTCGATGGACGCGATTTTCGATAACTTTCTCCAATAAGTCGGATCTAGTTTCAACGATGTAATGTTTCATATTTAATTTTCACTTCAACGCGATAATAGTTTGATGTTTGTTCTCATAGACTAATGAGACTTCAAATATAAATATCAATTCCTTTGTGTTCGGAACTAAGAAATTTGGTGGAGTTTATTCAATCAGTTGCATTTCTCAAGAAGATAGATTCACCAAACTTTTTCCACTAATGTGATAGTGCCGTTTGCAAAATGTGGTGTGGCTCCATTTTGTTCAAACCACACAGTTTTTCAAACTGACTTTTTATGGTCACAATTGGACGAAATTGATTCGAAAAGTTGCGAGAAACTGAATCTCAGAAGTAATTTTGTTGGTCATAAAACCACATAACTGAACTACTAATTTTATAATTAATAATATAATTATATACCCACAATGAGCTACAGTTTTAAGTGCCTATCTTACTTTCGTAACGAGTTTAATATTTCTGGCCTTTCTAACTATTCTTCCTCAACAATTTTGTTATCCATCTGATGTTTTCTGTCTAATATCTTATTTTTCGTTAGCATGGCAATTTTCTAGGAAATTACCACTTTGTGTTTAAAAACAATGTATTTAGTGACTATTCTTGCAGATTTTTTGTGATATTTATCATTTTATTATTTTTGAGAAATGTTTTTTTTTTGTTTTTTAATTTTTGCAGATGTCGGAATGATCATGATGCAAACGGGTATGGTCAAACAAGGCTTAAACTACCAAAGATACTTCGATGGTAGGCCAACGTTACGATTTCTTGCTTTGTGCTTAATCGGTGTATCATTTTTCAGTTTGTTGATGTGTCGATCTTGCCGATAATATATTGACTTCATAATTTTCCAAATAATCTCTAACATTTCACTGAATGAATCGACCTATCATGGGAAACAGGTCTGATTTAACTGTTAAGTTAAGGCTTAAATAAGAAAATGTTATGTTGATCATCTCAATATCGAGTACTTTCCCAAGTTTAAGATTTAGACGGAATTAATTTTAGTAGAATCTAACTTAACAGCTATAAATATATCTAAAAAATGTTATGCTAATGATAGAAAAATACCGTAAAAAATAAGTCATTATGAAATACTAAAAACGTCTTTTTTTATTTATTGTATAAAGATGTATATATTGTTTCAAGAGCTACTTAGATAGAGGCTTTGCTGTTCAGATAAAGTATCTATCTATTTAATGAGGGCTTTATATAAATCAATAATTTTGAGACATTTTCTGATTTAATCCATCTTATCATAAATCAGATTTATTTTAGCAATGTTTAGAGAAAAGTATTATTACGTAACTAAAAATGCTACATTTTGGTACAGATCATAGACGTCGTTTGGAATCAGTTTGAAGATTTACCATGCATGATTTTGTCCATAAACTAGTTAAAGTATTTTGATAACAATAACAAAAGAAACATGTACGTGAACCATAGTATTTGAAGAAAGCAACCTTGTATATGTTCAAATATTTGTGTATAGAATAACAAGAAATATATGAATTACAGTGTGCTCTGTGTCCTGGACTCTAGATACAAAATGAATATGATGAAAACCAGTTGTGATAAGCAAACTGGTTTTATATAGAGGGTATTCAAAATTATCAAGAATTGTATTGATATGAAATATATTTTTTAACTTGAAAACAATATATTAAATGTCTGAGAGAAAAGTATGTCTACAAATGTTTTGGAACAAAACAGTAATGTAACTTAACAGAGGAGAGATAGATTCATCGTTTTCAAAGAAGTGTTAATTTGATTTTTACCAAAACGCGATAGTTTGGTGTCAAATGCTTAAAAAGACCTGGCGGATATCGATTTTTGCAGAACTAAATACACGGTACGGAAGAACAAATTATTAACGACTCTCATCACAAACTGATATATTTACGAGAACTAACTTTTCAAGTTTACATAAGCATTACTTTGGAATGTAGATAGGAGACCTGGACTGAACCAGAACTGATTTTGATTTTCTGGAAAAGAATATCCAATGTTCAAATCAATCAGCATTGATTTTTTTACCAAACTATTTTTTAACCAAACTTCAACACGTGGGTTTCCTTAACTAAGCACCTTTCGTATATAAATAAATATATTTCATCAAGCAAACTAATATTGTTTTTATATTCTCCATTAGTTTTTTCCATGGATCCATAATTTACTGTCATAGAAGCCGCTGTTTTTATGGTGCGCTGCGTTAATAAATTTCCCGTTTTTTTTTATAACTTTTTGGTTGTTTGTCCAGGCCGGAGTCTTGCAGTACGATTGGCAAGTTCCATTGGTAGAGCAATGAGTTTTCTTCACAACTCAAAAAGGTCTCGATTTTGAACTAACATCGGGAATTTTTAGAAGATTCTTCGAAACTGTGACACATTTTGGCGCTTATCTGGGCAGAGTGGAATTGGATATGTGTTTCTTCAGAAACTAGTAAAATTAGACAGTTTCTTTTGTATGCGTTTTGTTGAAGATATCTTTGTTGTTGTTGTGATCTATAAGTGGGAATCCTTAGATTGTGAGTGGTCATCAAGCAATTTTGGTAATTCCGTTTGACTTTTACGGTTGATTATTGGCGGAAGTTTGATATTTGGTGGAAGCAATTGATTCCTCATAAATCAGTAACACCATAAAATGTCCGCTGTTTACTTACTGTTGGGAAAAACGTGTTCTGAAATTAGCAATCGTTTCAATTTTGAATCATCACCAGGCAATTATTGACAGCTTTTGAAAATTTCGCATGGTTCTTAAGCCGTTTTTGCTGGCCTGCTTTTGGCGTTTATTTTCTAAGGAACTACCGAAGAGAGAGAAACTTTTTAATATAATATTTTTATTGGGAAATGTGACCTATTAATGACACAAGTTTCAATTTGAAGCCATCATCAGATAACTTGAAAAAGCTTTTTGAAAATCGCTATTGAATTTTGCATTCCTTGCAGATCGAAATTGTCAATATATTTTCTGAAAAATGAGGTAAGAAAGCTCTAAGCCATTTTGAATCACAATCAGACAACTTTCGATAATTTTCGAAACGTGCTATTAGTTTTCGCAATTTTTGTGCAGGTCTGAGTTTCGCTTTTACTTCCTTATTAACTAAAGCAGATTGAAAGTGTTTTATACGTCTTTTCTAGGACAAATGCTGTTCTAAGAGTGGCCAGAGTTTTTTGTTCAAATTCTGTTTGATTTTGTTGGTTCTTGATAGAGGGCGAAGTTTGGCAATTATTTCGTCGTGAACTAACCAAATTATTTTATACAAGTTGTTAATCTGTTCTGTAGGTGACAAACTTCTCGATTTGAAATCACCATCAGACATTTTTCAGAACTGATTTAAGTTTTGCAGTTGTTGTTGCGGAATGAAGTTAAAGCGTCGGTTTCTTTGCATTCTGTAGAGCAATATTTCATCTATAAAAGCCAACAAGTTCAATATCCAGTCGTCACTACACCATTTTCATTAACTTTTCAAAATGCCATTACTTTTTTTGTGAAATAGTCTCAGCCCACTAGATTTTAACATTTAAAGCTCCAGAACAGTCACTTGTGTATGCGTTTTGCTGAGCAAAGCGTGCTCGATAAATGGAAAAACTTTGAATTCGAATCCTCATCATCAGGCAATTTTCACAAACTTTGGGCAAAACTGCTTCAGATTTTCGTGGTGATTTTTCAGGACGCAACTTAACATTGATTTCGCCCTAAACTTGACGCATGGTTTGGGGCAAAGTCGACTTGACAACGTTTCGATTTTCAGTGAACATAAAGAAATTTTTACCAGTTTTTCAAATTTGCGTCGGACGGAGTTTGATTTTTATTTTCTCAGAAGCCAGTCCAGTTCGGTTATCTCTTTCCAAGTCGTTTTAAGAGCAAAGTGTGTTCTTGTGGCAGAAGTTTCGACTCTAGTCGAGTCATAATCAGGCAATTTTCGAGAATTCTGCAAAATTGCATCCGGTTTTCGAGGCTATTTATACAGGCCCGAGTGTCCCACTACAAGTGTAAAGTTTCGATTTCCTGTCATGATCAGGCAGTTGTCCAGACTCGTTCAACCGTACGTTTGGAATTTTAGTAAGAATAGTGTTAATTTTCTGTCGTTCTCAGACAATTTTGGAGAGTTTATATTTTTATTGTTTCAAAGCAATTACTGGTGCTTACTTCGCAACGAGGGAAGAACTATTTTTTTAATGTTCAGTTTATTTCTCAAAAAAGCAAGAAGCAAATAAATTTAATGGTCGTCCAATAGTCGGTTTGCAGAATGTTAGTACAGCTAGAAATTACAAAAACCTTTATGCGGAACTTCCTTAAAGTCCGGGGACATTCACCAATTGGAATAAAATACGTTTCTAAAATTGTTTGATGTCAAAGCCAAGCAAGTAATTATTTTTTGCAAAATATAATAAGGTGGCAGAGTTACATCTGTGACTGGTTTTTCCAATTCGCTCCTCAAAACATAAAATGTATACCTAATAACGTCAGAAAACATCAAGATTACCTTCCATAGGCAGACTAAATAAATCATAATCTGATGCGAATAAAAACATATTTTCCAAGTTTATGATTTAGTTTTCAGAAATATCTCAGTTATGTTATGTAATATTTTTTTTCTGTATTTCCTCAATGACCTCATATCTAAAAATAACGAGTAACGTTATAATACTATTTGCGAGTCAAATATATTAAGTCAAAATGCATATTAAAAATGTCGTTTGCACTGTTAGGTCATAGCAAGATCTCTGGAGTGGAAATGGTAACGTATAATTTCTAATAAAAAAGTCAACTGTGTCCCAGATTTCATACAAAAAAATGTATGTCGAAAATATAATGCTGGTTAATCTTCACCTGATTTCCTGTAGAATGGTAGAATTGCTAGGCGCTAGTGTCTCAATGGGCTAATCGCAATTTAAGCTGGAAAAACCGCGTTGTTCGTGATGGTAAAATAAGAACAATCAATGCTTCGTCCCTTGGCCCCATTACTGTTGTGCCCTTAAAATCTTTTTGGAACTCGTGACCGTATTTTCACTAATAACTCATTTCTATGCAGTGGCGCCGTTTAGGAAAGGGGTCCGGGCCCTCCAATTGGTCGGCCAAACAAGTATGTATAATTTTACGATTATTTTTGAAAATTCATATACCGCATAAATCATTTTTCTCTTGAAGTTAAATAGTAGCGGTATGTCGATTTTTTCTTTGCAAAACCACTGTATATGTTTTACACTTAACAAACACATCAAATTTGATTAAATTAAGAACAACGTGTCACAATAGAGCACTTGCCAAATAATATACTGTGTGCACTCGTTAACACAACTTTATGAAAGGTTGGAAAATGAGAAAAATGTTAATGGAGCGCAGATACAAAGCCTCGTTCCTTGATACAAAGCTGGTATAAATTAGTATCCAATAAACGAACTTAAACAGTATTCGTGTTTTATTCTATCGTGTCACATTTCTGGAATATTTCTTAGATCGACTATACAGGGTGTCCGTTTTTGGTTCTCAATCATGGGATCTCGGTCACCATACTAGATACGAGATTAGTTTAATTGGGGCAAAATTGCGCAGTCTAGAGCTTAGCTTAGTTTTTTCAAGACTCCACACTGCCCGATGAGATTAATTTCTGCTGCTATAGCTCTTGTTGAAGTGGAAGGATTATGTCGAATCTAATGGAGAATTTAATTTATTACCATTTATTCCTTTTAATGAGAGTTTAACATTTCACTGACCGCCTGTAAAATTCCCACTTCATTCTTATTGGTTCTCTGAACACGTTTTCTGGGCCTAGAAAATGTACCAAACTCGGCTAAATGTGTATGCAAGGACAGAAAATAATTTTGAGCTTGTTTTTGTCTTTCTGGATACCGCTCTAGCTATGTTTTCTAAGAAACTTGCACATTTCAATGTGAAGCGTAATAAATTTCTATCATATCAAAAAATAACAGCAAGACTGAACTTTAACTTTAGAAAAAACTTTAATCAGAAAAAAACAGGGAATTCAAACATGTAAAAATCCAAGATGAGGCCCATAAAAAAAACAAAGTTGATTATGGTTGTCAATAATCCATAAGTCGCATTTTAAATACAACATCGCCACGTTGTAGAAGAGAAAAAGTTGTAATGATGAAGTATTATTCATTTTAAATTTCCTCGCCAAATAAGCTAAGGAAAAAATAAAAACCATTTTTTCTAATTTCGGTTTTTTCCGGACCTCCGGAAGTAGCAGAATTTTTTTAAATTTTCAATAATCATTTCAGTAAACTCTAGACTGCGGAACTTTGCCCCAATCTAACTAATCTCGTATCAAAAACCGACACCCTCTATACTGATCAGCTTAAAATTTCATATGTTTTTCCAAAACTGTATTTGCATTAACTATGGAATTCTCTTATATCATGACGATTTAATCTTATCTTAGTGTTCATTCACAACTTTTAAATAACATCATACTCCCAGCAACTTAATGTTTATTGATTTTCTCTAGTCTAATAAATTTATTAGTAATTATTAGAAAAACACATAGTTACAAGTTCTATTCCAATGGGGCTATTCTATCCACGTAACATTTATCTTTATTGACCGACGCTTTAAAATACCTAAGTGTTCTACAATCAGTATGTGTATAATTAAAACTTTGACTAGAACGTGTAGAATTTCTAGAATTTAATAATTAATTTGAATGAGAAATTCGTAAATATTAGATGTGTATCTTAGTTTTGAAAACATAAAATCAACTCTGTACTGTATAATCATTTATGATAAAATCTCTTTGACACTTGAGCATGATTCTATTAAAACTAGCCTTTTTGTAAAATGTTAATTTAAAAAAGATGTTTTTACCTAATATTTTCAGAGTTGCTTTTCAATGAATAAATTATATTTATTCGTGACATTCAAAAGTACTCAATGAAGCTATTAACATTGCTACTTCTGAATACTTGAGGTTTAATCTAGAAACAATACTTTTCTAAAGTCATAGACAGTTTTAATAATATTATTCGCGCTCACAAGGTCGAGATTCGTCTGTATTTTTATTCATTCTCAAGTTAAACTTTATTAGCATTCACAATTTTGTAATCGTCTAACCTAAATAACTGTGAACTATCACCTAACAACATTAAAGATCTGTTTTATTACAATTCGAAAGATTTTGCAATTCCTTTAAAAATATATATACATTGAGATGACTGTACCATCGAGTTGACCACAAATCTCCAATCAATATGGTTGTTTGAAAATAGTGGTTAAACATCTTTAGTGAGTTTAAGTAATTTTGTTCCTCATCAATAATTATTTTAGAATTTTTATCAAGATGTGTATGCCATAAGATCAAGATAATTTTATCCCCAATATTAAATGCATTCATCAAGATGTTTTTCAAAATTATGTTACCTACTGAATTTTTCGAGTATGCGTTATTAAATTTGATTTTTAAATTAAGAAAAATTTTAAAACGGTTACAATTCCGTAAATTTGACGTTTTCCAATTTTTTTCTAATTGTTCGCAAACGACAATTTTTGTTTTGTTTATGTCTTTTTAATTACCGCAAATGTCAGCAAGTAGGCTGGTTATTTTGGATTTCATTTCTACACAGATAAGTTGGTGACGGCGAATCTACAGTTCATTTTAAATATCCTCTGTACAAACCAACTTCATGCCTAATTCAATTTTTTTCCTTGAGAATGGATAAAGGTATAGTCCGAATGAAACATCACAAATAAGTTTAATAACATTACCAACAATTAGAATAATTTCAAATACACTCTAGTGAGTCAAATGACTCACGCAATTTGCGCCAAATTTCCAAATCTGAATATAAAGCCTCATTCAAACTCGTGCATTCACTCACCCACTCACCAATTTCCCTGTTTTAACCACATCTCAGATGATTTGGATGTATCGTTTCCAAGTAAGTCCAGACCTTCTTCACTTTCGCATGTTTACCAAAAAGCTCTTAGCCACTTATTAACACTGACATTTTCTTCATTGGCGTGTCCATTACTGAAATCTATAGTTACTTCTTGGTTAACTACGGACAGTTATAATTTTATTTCTCGGTGCTTTTGTACAAATCAAAATGCAAAATAAATGAACAAATGTGAACCATCAGTTGTTGGAAAACATTAAACAAATGTTTCTGTGGAATGCTTTCTTCATTTTTTGCATGATTGTCTAGCTCCCTTCACGTGGTAAGCACCAGCTAACAATATGATTAGTAAAAATTTAATTGTTGAACATTTGGAAATTGAGTCCAAGAGGAGGAGTGCATGACTTGCATCTGCATCCGCATGCAGTAAACTCTGTATATTGTTTTTGACTATTGTGCTGCATGTCTATTTTTAAACTGTATTGAAACTATTCAGTCGCTTAGTTTAGCTAGATTAGTTTAAAATTAGAAATTGAAATAGCAGTATTTAGAAATATTCCAATAAAAAGGTATTAACAATATCGTTGTATCTAGTGAAATGATTCATTCATTTGTTGTTTTAGGCAATTTCTTGTTCCAAAATTATAAATATATTTGTTTGCAAGCTGCTTTCAATAACGTTCAAGAAAAGTCTGAAATAATGATTGAAAGTGTGATAAACTAGCAATAGATTTAGGCTAGGAAAACATAGTTGAATGCGAGAATGATTTATGGTTTACAGATGACCACCATCCTCCCCCTACTTTTACACCACCAGAGTTGCCCAAGAAGGTTCATGTGCGAGGTACTTCTCAAAATTTAGCCGATAATTCGCTAAACAGTAAAGAACCCTTTAGCTTGTACAAAATTCATTGATACCAAATATTTCCGTTCAGTAATATCTTTCTTCCGAAACGACAAACAGTCTATCTTTTAATAATAATATAATAATACCGCAGCTCTTTTTTAATATTCTTTCATGGGTGCATATCAACATGATAATAATTTTAAGTAAATTCCAATAGTTAAGGAGTGCTTTCCAAGTCAAAAGCTGACCAAAAAAGATGATTCTCTTTCCGACAGTGACTACAGTGTTACATCATAAACGAAGTTGATTTTTTCTTTTGTTCAGGAGAAACAACTAACACATGCATAAAATTAAACACCTGGTTAAACATATGGACCAATTCTGATGGAAAATAGCGTAAGAATTTGGCAGAAAACATTTAAGGCCGGTATACATAGTCAATATTTTATAGAAGATCATTCTACAGATGTTCCGTCATCATCCGTCAACTATCTACATATCGATTTATAACGTTCTACGACGTCTTCCGATTTCTGTCTCGGTTGTTCTCTATAGATCGTCTTCGTCCTCTTGTCTGCCAGTTCATCACTTGCTTCGGGATGCGGTGTTCTTGCATTTTTTATATATGTCCAAACCATATTAGTTGTTTGTTTTTGAAGTCATCTGTTATAGAAGGCGTTATTCCCATCATTTGTATCACTGCCTCGTTTCTTATGCATGCTCTTATTAATATTCCTGATGCTCGACGCCAAAAATCCATTTCGGTGGCTTTAAGCGTTTTCTCCTCGCTTCTTTCAATGGCCACACCTTGTATCCGAGGGTGGTTATGCTTTTTACAAGCGCATTATAAATGAGCTTTTTGTTTTCTATAGTGAGGCTTCTGTCCCAAAGTAATGCACTTAAAAGAGCGATGGTCTTTCTGCCTTTTCGGTGATTGATTTCACTATCGCGAAGTCAGTCGTCGGTGATTTTAACTCCCAAGCATCGATATTCTTTTGTTTGTTTGATGGTAACTCCGCCTTCCAGATCAAGATCCGTTTGTTCTCCCTTTATCACCATGTTCGCTGCCTTTTGTGTGTTTACTTTTTCATCTAATCTCTTTTGGTATAACATTTTTACGCTTTCGTTTTCGAGGCTTTTCAGATTGAATCTTCGCTCGTCATTTTCTTCTCTATTACTTTCTTCAGGTGTTTGTCTTTCCTCGTTGAATGCCTGGAATCTGATGTTTGATCTTAGTAAGTAATGGCCATTTCCACATGTTGGATCCCTCTGTATTCTTACATCTTCTATCTTCAACTATGTTTGCTGTTTCACTATTAGCGTGCACAGCTCAATTAGTCTTTCTCCGTTGTTGTTGGTTACTTCTTCGCCATATTTAGCGACTACGTTATTTCTTTCTTTTTTTTCCTATTGGGCTATGAAGATCTCGCAGAATTATCGGTTCTCTAGAATTGCCAATTTTTGTTATTTCATCATTAAGTTGTTAGAAAAAACTAAAAAAAGAAAAAGCTTTTTGAGCTTTGTCCTTCCTTTTTCGTTTCAGTGATAACAGATATATCGACTTTTAATCAAGTAAGTTCGTTTAATACCCCATTCAGTTTCTTAACGAGCCCTTGAACGTTCCTTGTTCTAAAAATCGTCGTCTTTGTTCCTTCCTATTCTGAGGCCTCAACCCCCCAACCTGGAGGACCAGAGGCTTTGATTTTGGAGTCTCTATCTTCTAGGTGCGTTGCTGCCACCACAGCAGGTATAGGGCCCCACTTCTCAGGTGTAGTATAATCCTTCTGGCTAATTGTTTTTGCTGTATCTGGTTAAGATCCGGATGGGATCGGAAGATGGACCGGTGATTAAAAGTGGTCAAAAGATCTCCTGAAGATCCAGATCCTCGCAGAAAAACATTTTGGTTTGTGTTTCGTAAGTATTCTGAAAGTAATTTAAATGAGTCTTATTAAAAAGTGGGTCTGAGAAGCAGAGGTCTTCTCAGAGGAACCTTTTTGACGCTGATGAGGGCCTGGAGTGCATTTGCCTTACAGTTCGAGAGAAGTATTGACGACTATAAATTTAGTTCCCCTTATGACCTATTTCTAAGCCGGACCGACCGTGAGAATTAGAACATACAAAAGGGTCTTGGTGAATTTTCGCAGGACTTTGTTTGAGAAGTTTTGCAGTTTTCATATGTTGGTTTTGCAAATTTGCCAGGTTCAAATTTCCTATACTTAAATTATAGATGTCAGCAAAAATTATCAAATTAAGAAAGTTCAATTAATTATTACCTATGCATACCGGCCTAAGAACCGATATCAGACTATACGTCCATACATCTTGTTACCTCTTGTCATAAATAAATGCAAATATTCAATTTTACATGAGATTTGGCGTTTAACTATGGTCACAATTTAGGAAAATATTATTTTGTGTGGATCGTTTGATGATCGCAGTTTGTTCTACTGAAAGATTATTTCTTCAACTTTTCTAAAACAAGTATTCGCTTGTAATTCAAATTATTTAATATTACTCACAAAATTGAAAGATTGCGATATTTTTGAAAAACATGGAAGTTTTCAGTTTTCAAGTTTTCCCACCATATCGGTTAAGGCTACGCTTCCAATTGGATATTACTGAACAAGCTTGCACCTTAAGCAATATATTATAGTTGACTGCACAATTCTCATTCATTTATCATTAATTTTCAGTTTTTTTGGAATGCCTCTTGTTTCGTTCTCATTTAGTTTAGTTATGAAAACATTCAACTGCTTCTTGACAAACTCTGCTTCTATGAGTTCCTTCAACAAAAAAAAATCCTGAAAAATCCCAACCATTTTGACGCGAAAGTTATTGTCTTTTCGGTTCTTTAGCTTTAGGTAGCTACTGTTCTCGTTAGGTGTTTGTTCATAAATCAGTAGTTTCGGTTGTGGTCTAGTAGAAGCTAGAATAGCTGTTAAACGTGAGTGTAAATATAATATAATCTGATTGTAAGCGAGTATGAAATCCTTAGATTGATTCCTATAAATCGTTTTCTGTTTTCAGGTGATTTGAACCGTCATGACGATCTACTTAGTAAGTGTTGTTGTAAATAGTCCCTTCCATGTTGAGTTAGTTAATTCCAATTTGCGTAGATTAGTTCACATGCATATTATGTTCAAAAGGGCTACATTATCGATGTGCACTGACACTAAAATCATAATTTATTCTGTGTAAATGCTAGAATTACACTATGTTGATCCCCTCTATAAAAACACATTTTTCGCCAAATAGTTATCATATAATTTTTATCACTCAAGCCAAGTGTGTACACATATAATAACAAACTGTAATTTTTTTTAGTGGCTCACAGGAATCAGAATCACCGAAATAGCACCGTGCCGACAATGAACATGGTTAATTCAACCAAGCAAGTTAATAAAGTAAAACCCAACATAACCAGAAACGCAACAGATAGTTTGGTTTCTCCTACCTACAACTCTCGGTAAGTGTGAGTAAATGGGATGAATTAGGTAAGTCGTAAACATGATCAAGAGCTAAGAGAATATTTTTGAGTTGATAATAAATAAAATGATAAATAAATAATTTTTGCAGTCCACAAATATACTGTATGACTTGAACACGGAATTAATTATATGTATTAAAAAGAAAAAATATCAGGAGGAATGCGTCTGTTGAAGCCCTGACCCAGTAAGCGGCGCTACAGCTCGCGTCTCCGATGTTCAAACTTATTCATATATTTTTTTTTCTTTAGAGCGTTCGTTTTCCTGTTGGAGAACAATTTGGACTTCGGTTTCAAGTTTAAAATAGTATGAGTTTTATTTAGGATGACGTCTAGATGTATAAGCAAGCATGAACATGTTACGTTACAAAGTTCAGCTTGTGCGTCCGGACGCGGCTAAACTGCTAAAGCTGTTTAAACGTACAGTCGATGACACATGAAAGTGGACGATTAAATGTTTGTGTAAATCTGACTTTATATTCGAAGAGAAGACTTTCTTTATAGAATTGTAATGAAATTATCAAGTTAAAACAAGTTTGTGACATACATTGCACGTATATTTGACATATGTATTTCACAAAGCCTGATTTACGAAAATCGGGAAAAAATTGCCTTTAGTAGTCGTCTACTTCTATGTCTCGTCAACTGTACATTACTCGGTCTGGTTTAAAAGATTGCCAATATTGCCTACGTAAAAATAGTATTGTTAATCTTGGAGACTACACAAAAATTATGCGGTATTTCAAACAAAAAGTACTACAGTTTTTACCTCAGAAAAATCATTATGAAACCTACCATCAGATGCTAAACGAGCGGCGACAATATCTCAAAGATGTTTGAGAAAAAACTACACTTATGAATGAAGCGAAATTTATTTAGCAGCAGTTTCGTCGGTCGCATCAAATTGAATAAGTAAATTCAAATGTTTTGTAAGTGGTAGAAAATATTAATTTATGTTCAATAGATTCACAAAGTAGACAATGTGTTTCTTTATAAAATAAACGTAGCTGTGTCAGAACCAATCATTCATTCCATTCCTTGTTTGGTTTTTTCTTGTTTTTAAAACTGAGTGATAAGTAAATTAATTAATTAAGATAATAATAAATTTAATTTTCTTAGTTTAAACTTGTTGAGTTACAAAAATCTACCATATGATATAATGATATGTGGTGTGCTATCAGCAGTGTGCTATTTTCAGCCCGCCGGATCCAGACACTACTACTTACGCCGGCTATCATCTTGCCTATGAAGTCAAAAAACTCATGTACGCTTTAGCCAGTACTAACACTTCTTACTTTTAACTGTTGCGGCTTGCTGTAGCATTGTGAGATTTTGTCTTTTTGATTTTTGTTTTAATTGGTAATCAAATAAAGCAGCTAGTAACAGTCAAATAAAAAAGAAGATTTATAACGTTTTTATCGCTTTTAAAACTAGTTTTTAATTGGTAGTTTGTGTTTGTATAGCCGTAAAAATAGCCATATTGCTTTCAATTGATATGGGAACATTAACTTGCGATAAATCATGCAAGAATACAATTTTTCTCCAATTTTAAATGCTTAATTATAAATTTAGCGTTTGTACAGGGTATCCCGTGGCTTATTCCTTGGTCAATTTGGTCAAAACTCAATTATTCGACAGTTCAGAGTAATATTAATACGGAGGAAGGAGAGTAAATTGATTATTATGCTGAATAAATTAATGTTATTACTAACACAAGAGTTTAGTTTTGGTTCAAAATGCCTTTCCTGTGTTACAGTACATGTTTGCTCTTCTTATAATTAAAGACTCTGCAGCTGTCTGAAAAGTATCTGGGTCAAACTGTATGTCTGTAATTGCTGTCTTCAAATTTTGCATTCGCTCTCTTCAGACTTGATTTATTTGAATAAACTACACTTGTCCTGCATCCCCAAAAACGTAATAGTGGAGAGGTGTTAGGTCCGATGTCCTCACAGGTTAGAGAACTGGACTTTTAGATCACCAATTTGGCACGTTGATATTTTTTTTACGTTTCCACCTTTTATTATTAATTTGGAAGTGTGCCATCATGCTGAAACCCCATGTTAATTCTATTCTGCAGGGGAACATTCTCTATTAATTCAAGCAAATCGGCGTGTAGTCATTAGATAATGCTCGGATCAAATAGATTATTAAGAATGTACGAAAGCCTATGAGACATTTTCGTCTTAAACTTTTAAATTAAGTTTTTTAACTAAAAATTTTCTTCACTTAGTAAAATTTAAAAATTGAAAAAAAACGTTGCTAACTGATAGATTCATTGTCTAGTCCTCTGGCGTGTGAGGTAACGGGATCTAGCACTTCTCGGTCATTATCTTTGGGGATACTTCCCCAATAAATGGAAATATTATATTATGACTGCAGCTGCATCCATCGGTACGACTCAGACTCTCTGGAAAGCTACGTCTGTAATTATCAAAAGAGTAAGAATATGGAGTGAGGCAGTGGGAGGACATTTTGAACCAAAACTTGTATCAGTAATAAATGTTGTACTAGTTATAAAACAATGCATTACTTTACTCTCCATGCTCTCTTAAAATTATTACTGCATTATTTTATTTTTATTATTTTCGACATTAAATTGATCAAGGATTACACTCTTCAGCTATGGCCATCGAGTCATGGGACATCCTGTATATGTATATTTGAAAGAAAATATCAACTGCTCCACTTTTGTATGGGAGCATCCTGTAAAACGGTGTTTTGCAACGTGATTAAAACGTCTTTATGCTCTGTATTAGATTGCCCTTTGATTTTGTGGCCCATTGCTGCGCTGGCGAACAATTTTTTGCGTATAACAAAATTTAGACGGTTTTTAACTCATCACATCAAGTTAAATAGCAAAATCAGCATTGAAGTGTATGTTTTTTGTAACCCAATGTTAGCTATTCGTTTTAAGGATCAATGTATCAATACTTTCAGCAGTTACTTCTGTGTTGGGAGCCAACGACACGTAAATCGTCTAAGCACAAACAATAATTCGCATTGTTTCAACGCAATTAGTGAAATTAAATAATAAACGTGTTGTTAGTATTACTTTAGGTAAAATTCGATATAAATTTCATTTACTTTAACTTATGTTAACATATGTGAGCCTTTCAGTCGGTGTGATCTTAAAACATTACATTAAACACGAAAGTGAAGTACAGAGTTCTTGATTGAATTTTGGGCGCCTCGTTTTTTCGTCCAATTTGGTTCATGTATTTGGTATTACCATTCCGTGTTGAATAATCATTTAACGACGTTAACTACCGAAGATGATAGAAAAATAGGGTTTGGCCCTATCAGTTAATTTCCTCTAATTAAAGCATTCTCCATTAATTTTCATAGCTGTTAATACCGAGAAATAAACACCTCGCTTTAAACACACCCGATTGCCTAGACATTTATTCTAAAGAATCCCAAGTCGTAACGAGGCCCACTAGGGGTCGAATGAATGGCTCCAACCCTTTTTAAACCAAGCCAGGGAATACCCTGTCTGCTTTATTAAATGCTCCTAACCTGCTAAACTATAAATGCTACCAAAGCATTGCAACAAAGCTCTAATATTATAACTTAAAAAAAAGGCAAAAAGTTTTATCTGTTCATTTCTCATAATCAGGGTTCGGCTGGACACATACATATGTCCATGTGCTCTACATATGTCCATTTACTATTAGCCAGTTTACATACAAACAGAGATACATTGTTATTGAAACCAAATTGTTGTGCTGTAAGTATTTAATTTCATATGATGAGTCGAAAACAGCTAAAGTCTATATTTGCATGTTCATAACTAAGTAATGTAATTGTTTCGTATAGTCTTTGCTTTTTATTGATGCATCGTTTTGTTGCAATTATTGCTTACTAACTTTCCGCTATCTGCTGATAGGTCAGCCACATTTTTTTCCTAGTATTTTTTAACATAGACGCATGTAGATTATAAATGTTAACATCTTCTATTGGGTGTCCGGTTGCTAATCTAACAACTGCATGTACATTTTTGAATTCAACGAAACTATCGTAAGATACTGCCAAATATGTCTATGCATTAGCAAACGTGAACTATTTTTGGTGTTTTAGTACAATGACTTAGACCTGAGCCAAGTGGATTTAATGAGTTGGGTTAAGTATTTTTATGACTAAAACCGTTGACATGGCTCGGGTTCCCATAAATCCAATTTTTCTAAAAAGGTATATGTTGGTTTTTAGGCCGACCAGCCGAAGCAGTGGAGGCACCAACCAGAACAATAACGGGGTAGCTCTCCCCGTGGGCCTTGCCGACGACCAAGCTAAAGATTTTGACTTTGAAAAGACTGAGATGAAATACGACAGTACGGGTATGTTTCACTGGGGTCCGGCTAGAAACTTAGAAGAGTGCATTTTGGTAAGTAAAGTGATATCGAACTAATATTAACACGTTAGAAGTTATCAAAAAAATTATTTGATTTCATATCCTATACGTCCAAAAAGTACCTACCCAGCATAGGATGAATTATAGGACATATTATACATAATAATAATGCAAGTTGTTGAAAATCGGCTATCGCGTCTTAATTTATAAGAAATGTTGTTTGATGTTTCGCAAATCTCTCTTTTGTAAAGTGTGTAACATTTTATAAGCTAACTCAAACTATTATTACATCTGAGGACTAATGACTGACCGACCCGGTTTCTCCAGTTTTTATGGTTCAGTGAAACCTCTTATAACCGGAGACTCATGGTTCTACTAAATATGTTCGCTTAATAGAGGGATTTAAAAATATCCATTAAAGAGTTGCACGGCTTGTAATAATAATTAATATTTTGTAGATTAGTACATAAAATCAAAATGAATAAAACACTTATGACACTAAACTTTAAAAAAAAGTTAAAAATATATGAATTAACAGTTTCATTACTTATTACAAACTTATTTACAAAATCTAATGTGCTAGATAGACGCAACTTGAACAGTTTCTGTTTCAAATATCATGTCTAAAAACTATCTTCTAAGGTTTTCAAATGCTTAAAGGCAATGTAGTCACCCTTACAGAAATTTTCTAAAGTGGTAACTGTCTTTAAAGCTTCACAATAAGAAATAAATTCACCTGTACTTTCAAACATTATTTTTCCTTCCGACTCGATTTATACCGTTGTTTGAGATTCGATTTTTTCGAAAAAACTTTCTTTAGGCGCATCTTAATATCAAAACATCTGCTCTCTTGCAAGCATATGATTAAGTTTAATATAATTCTCAAAATGTTCAGTCGTTATGCTCATATTTCTTTGGCTGTACGCAAGTACTGTTTTTATCTTTCTAGAAACCTGCTTTGTTATAGCAATTTTGTATTGTGTTGTGGACCACCTTGTTTAAAGCACTTTTAAGAAAATAAAGAGCTTATAAAACGTGTATCGACTTTGATGTATGACCATGACTCGGACTCTCTTCATCAATCTTGGATAAAATGGTTTTTTTTTAATCCGCGATAAAATAATTTATTTATGATGTCCTGATCCACAGGTTGACAGATGGATGTTGTATTCGGCGGTAAAAAGAATAGTTCTATGTTTTAAAGTTTTATCTCGTGAGAATGAGACGCTCCGTTGGTCAAGAACCATAATATCTTCTGCTTTTGTCTCACCATATTTCTATCAAATTTTAGCAACCATTAAGCCATAAGGTCTTGGTCATCCATGCTTTTTGATCAAACCGCCAAGTCGTAGGTAAATATTTCGTAGATAAGCAATTCTTCTTTGTGGCCCGTCATATTAACGCAAAACAAAATTGACCGCCTTTCTTTAGATAATTCTCCTCCCGAACATTTCTCGCTTTTAAAACTGAGAGTTTTAACGGTTAAATCCACATCTTCTGGCTGGTACCCAAGGAGGAAGGATGGAAGTATGTCCTTGAATTGTTGCAGGTCTGTTTGGTTTACATCAGCTGATTCCCCGGAGATACACTTAAAACTAATTACGTCTTTTACGCCACTCTTCCAGCCAACCATTGGAAGCTCGACAGATAGTAACATTATGCTCTGATGTTATTTCTTGAGCTTTAGCTTTTACTAAAGGTATAGAAATGATGTTTTGACTTCGATCACGCGCGACCCAATCACAACACAATTTGTCAATTTTAAGTCCTTTTCAAAAAACTTCTTTTCGTATCAGTGTTGATGTTTCCTGTTTCCCACTTCAAACCTAGCTGTTCTTGGTTTTGAATAAGTTCAACCGCTTGAGTTCTACCAATGTTAAACTTTGGTGATGCTTGCTTAAACTGATCGATAAATTATATTTTTTACTCGCATTCGTTACTTCAATATTTTCCCTTAAAGATAAAAGTTTTTACTCGGTGCCATTGCACCAAAACTACAAATAAGTTAACAAGAAATGAAACTAGCTAAACTTGTGATTGACAAGTGGATCCAATGATCAATACACACTGCGAGAGACGAGAGAACAAAAAATACCAAGAACAGCAGAGGTCAAAGAAATCAGGGGATTTTCAGAACCTAACTTGGTAATTCCCCGCTTTTAGGCTCTGCAGGTCATCCAAACTACACATAAAAACGTACTTAATTTAATACCAACGGAGCTAAGGTGTCCAGTTAACAAAGGTCTTGTGTCAGGTTGAGATAGGTTTCTACTTGCATTGGGTACCAAAGCAGAGAGAAGACTTGTCTCTGACCAAAGCAGTGTCCGCGACTGTTGATTAAGTGTCCTGTTAAAGGAGAGTTGTGTTTGTTTATAAGTGAGCTAGAAAAGCTTGCAACGTTTCTAAAAGATTTAATTCTGGTTATTTTTTAAATTGTGCTCTTCAAAACTTCAAATGTATAACAGTGCCCATACTGCTAAAATTGACGATCTTTGGAGCGACTGAATATCGGTTAAATATTCAAAATATTACATACGCGTAATCCGTGTTTATTACAAGCAAATTGATTATTCCGATATGCTGTTGAGGTTGAGAGTTTGAGAGTCAATGTTGCCGAAGAAACCCCTAGACAACACATCCACAAGAATGAAGTCAATTTTGAATCACCCCTTATTTGGACAAATAAATACAAACGGATTAAACTAATTAAACTTGAATGGCTCAACTAACTCAGTCGAGAAACCATATCTGCTCAAGCTCTCGCAATGTAGACTTGAGCATAACTTTATAGTAGAGTTGCTGATCTTTGTAAACCCGCTTGTCCGCCTAGACTACCTGTTTGCTCATTTGTATAGGCATCCTTAACTGATAACTAATAAATCTTCTCCTTACTAATAATAATTGCTGACTATTTTAATATATTTGAAATCTTTCGTGTTTATAGGATCGAAACCAAGCCGCCATGACAGTATTAAATGGACACGTTGTCGTTTGTCTATTTGCTGATCCAGATTCGCCTTTGATAGGGCTGCGGAATCTAGTTATGCCTCTCAGAGCCAGCAATTTTCATTACCATGAATTGAAACATGTTGTTATCGTGGGGTCAGTCGACTATATTCGCAGAGAGTGGAAAATGCTGCAGAATTTACCAAAAATATCTGTCCTGAATGTAAGTAATATGTTTTAGTACAATAATGAATGATTAGTGAGAGAAATTATTTCGGGATTACGATTAATTCACTTTTCAACACATCACTGTTTTGAGGAACAAATATGTAAACAGCACCACGGTCAAAAATATAAATGTATGAGAAGCAATCGCAATACTTCCATATTTACTCAAAATAGAGGAGACAACAAGACTGCTGCTTTGTGTTGGAGGAGAAGATATTGTTTATTATTTCAAACACTTTAAAGTTATTAGCAGTTTTAAATATTTTGTGCAAACACTCGATCCACGAGACGGCAGTTAAATTGAAGAAATTACAAACATGTCGGGGAGGATCAGCTTAATCACGGTTTAAATACAAAACGGCACGGTGTCCAAGAGGCCCTTAAAAATTGTAAGAAATCAAATTTGCTACTAACTTCAAGCCAGAATGAAAATATGCTAACCTCTAGGTTTCTGATTGCAAAATCAAGTTTTCAAAATAGTGTTATTGTGTTTTATACATGAAACACCCTGTATAATGTAGTTTAAATAGGGAAGATGAAAAAGGAAAGTTGATTATTTTTATTGAGCGGGACGTGATTTTTCGCTTTATTTGAAGCCCATCTATATCGACGAAGAAGAAATAAGGAAACCTATTACTTAAACATTTTTGAGTAACCCGAAAGATAAAAGAATGGAGAATCAAGAAGAGAACGAACTTCAAAAATATGAAAATAACTAGAAAAGTGAGGAGAAATTCGGCCAATTTGTTGAAATTATGGACCGACGATTTAAGCAACCTAGCCTTAAAGGGCCCTAAAAACGAAAATAAAAATTAAAACATTTCAGAAAAGACAGGCTAAAGAAAATACCGACCCTTGACAGTCTAATTGAAAAACTGCAGAAAACCATTTTCACTACAAAAATTATTTGACACTGGATTCTCATTCTTTTGGAACACTTTTGCAAATAACATATGTTCAATCCCTTTTAAGATTCAATTTTCTTTAATTTTACGCTCAACGTATCGTAAGCGGCAGCTTTCATATTTCTGTTTTTATATACGTCTTTCCTAATTTTCCGCACCAAAATTCTGCAGTCGACATAGTCACAAATACTCGTGTATTGTCGCGCACGTATACAGAAAATAAAATGGAAAGATACCAAACTAAAAAACCTTGCACAACTACGCTCAACAATTAAAGCAACAATTCAACAACAAAGCTGAACAATTCAAAGATCTTTTAAACTAGTCAAAGTACGTGTTGCTCAATTTCTTTGACAATGTATGGGCCGCTTTATGAATCGCTTTTACAATGTAGATGCGACTCCTGCGATTACGCAAAACATAGTGTTCGATTTATAACAACATTAAAGCACTGTAAGGATGTCAAGTAACACTCACGGTTTCCACCATCACCATATACCCATTTCAACACTTGTTGGTAAGTCCTGCCAGCAGTGCTGTTTTCCGACTCACCTTCGTGAACGCTATATCATCAATTGCGATAACTCTGAATATTTTAAACCGAATCTAACAATCGAAAGCAATTTGGATAAAACTGAAAGAAATCAACGAATTGATTTGATTACACAGAAACATTAGATAGTTCCTATGAGTGAGCTACACACAATATATACGATCGAAAACGATAATTTGATATATTTAGTTTCAAACTTATTAATGCAACTAAGTAGATATTTAGATAATAAATATTAATAATGCGTAGTGCCTAGATTTAACATGAATATTATTTCAGGGTTCTCCATTAAGCAGAGCCGATCTTCGTGCTGTGAACGTAAACTTATGTGATATGTGCTGCATTCTCTCAGCGAAAGTACCGAGCAACGACGACCCTACGTTAGCTGATAAAGAGGCGATTCTCGCATCCCTCAATATTAAAGCTATGACTTTTGATGACACGATAGGAGTGCTGAGTCAGACCAGTGAAAATGCCGAAAATGGTACGCCAGTGGGCAGCCCAATTATCTTGCAAAGGAGAGGCTCTGTTTACGGAGCGAATGTTCCTATGATTACAGGTAAGTACAAGAGTTTACAAACTTTTTTCTAAAACCTCGAAAGGTCAATCTGGAAAAGTTCAATAAATAAACGGGATTTGGAACTTTGAAGTAGCACATTTATAAAAATCACTTAAACGGACAGCAAGAAGTTTACACACATTACGCAAGAAAATTAGCTCCTCGGTAATGGAATACCAGAACGAAATAAATCAATATTAGTCGGCTTACGAGCGAAACATATTTTTCTGTCCGATCCACTCGCATTTTCAATTTAAGATTTCCCAGGAAGATTTTAGAAATCTATTTTGGTAAGAGCCAGATTGAAGCGGCTGAAAATGTTAAATCCATTTTCAACGAGTAGGTATTAATTTAACGCACTTTTCCTGAACTCCGAACTGTCCCATTTTCGACGTATCAATATTTAAAAACGGCATATATCCGAATCGTTTAAACGAACCGGATCAGTTTCAATAACCAGTTTCAAAACTTTACGTTTTATAAGATGGCAAAATGCATGAACGTCTTTTTGGGCACAGTGAAGAGTGAAAAGAAACATATCATCGGACATATTTGGGCGAGGAATGAATGCTGTATAATGATATATGAAGCGTTTTGCACATAAAACGTTCAGATTTTTTTTAAATCATCTCCGACATGGTTGAAAATTGCCGGCTAGAGCATATAACACCAAATTCAGCGTACCGTCAGCTATCTAATGGTATAAACAATTATAGGACTATGCCCATTTAGTGTTCGATTCAAATCGACTAAACTAAAAAAGTACACACGACAATAAGGAAGGAAATCAAAGCTGCAAAAAGAAATGTAACGAGACTGAACAACTAGACAAAATGCATGTTCTTTCAAAAACACACAGAAAGATCCTCGGACCATCCACAGAAGCGCTCGTCAGGAGTGCGTCCTCTCGCCGACCTTATTTAACATCTACTCTGAAAAGATATTTCGGGAGGCACTAGAAGACTCTCCTGAAGAGATAAAAATGAACGGCTAAAACATAAACAACATCAGATATGCAGATGATACTGTTATCCTCGCAACTAGCCTAGCGGATCTTCAAACTCTTCTTGAGAAAATTAATGCAACTAGCGAGGAATATGGACAATGCGAACTGGGATAAACCCGTAGAAATTAGACGCAGAATTGAGAAGGCAAGAACTGTATTCAATAAAATGAAAACATTTTTTGTCAGCAGAAAACTAAGCCCACAACTGATGAAAAGCTCAAAGCGTTCGAAATGTGAATATGCCGGATAATTCTGAGCATCTCATGGTTCGAGCACATAACTAACGAAGAAGTACTTGAAATGGGGAATGGGAAAACCGAAAGAGGTAGAATTCACAGTGAAGAGAAGAAAAATTGAGTACTTCGGGCATATTAGCAGGAACAATCAATATCGACTACAACAAGGGAAAGATCGACGGCAGAAGAGGACCAGGAAGAAGGAACTCGTGGCTGCAAAACATCCGGCAGTAGTTTGGGATGACAACTTTACAATTGTTTAGACAGGCCGGCTGATACCAAAAGAAGAAGAAGACACGAAAAAGTTTGACAATCTTAGATATTGCATCCAATGGAGATTTTTTTAAACATTTTAAAAATATAGACATTTTTTTTCGATAATTTCTACGTATTTACGTGATGCTAGTTAGGCAGATTACCTTGAAGAACATTGTTGCCGTGTTTCTGATATAGTTTTTTGCAAATTTCTCAGTTTTTAACAACAATTAATTTTTTTACTGTTTTTTCTGTACTCCTGAAACACCGCCAGACAACACCTCCAGAGAAATGATGCCAATTTTGAATCACCCTGTATATGATAATCTCAGAAACGATTGAAAATAATTAGTCAGTTGTCCTGCTCTTTTCGATTGCTCATCCCAAGAACTAAATTTCGCTAATTATAATTTTATCAATTTTTAACCTCTAAAGAGATTGAAGCAAGTTGAGAAACGTAAAAATTTTAAAATTTTGTTTAACCCAATGCGATCTAGTGGTTTAATACGAGTACAGTAATTCGATACACAGCGATACATACGAAAGACATCTCAGTCATGCAAGCTCAAGTCATGCTAGGCCGCGTCATGAAAATATCAGCATATTCGGAATATTTCTTTTACAATATTTTATGAGCTGTTTTTCAATAAGACTTTTTCTAAATTCATCCCTTGCTACTTTGCAAAAATTGTCAAATTATTCCTAAAAGGCCTAAACCTTGAAACCTTAATGTTTTGTAATAGAGCACATATTAAAATTGAAAAGAAACGTTGGTTCAATCAGCATAGGGCCGTATCTATCAACAAAAGTTGGTTGGCTTTCATAGATAACTGTAGCAAAGAACAGTTAATATATATATCGCCCGAGGTTTGAATATTTCCTAAATAGCCATAGATCGTTTGTTGGGATTGGGATAAAATATTAATCGGCAGAAGCCACTAAGACACAGTCTATAGATTATTATTATAATGTTTGTTTTTTTCTAGAATTAGTCAACGATAGTAATGTCCAATTCTTGGATCAAGACGACGATGATGATCCAGATACAGAATTATATTTAACACAACCATTTGCCTGTGGCACTGCCTTTGCTGTTAGTGTTTTAGATTCACTTATGTCAACGGTAAGTATTATAACCACATCGCAGAAGACGCTGTACATTTCAGGACAGAAGACATTCTTTCCAAATTTTAATATTGCAAAAACTTTACTTCATTTGGAATTTATTATTGGCTAATTTAAAGCAAGCTAAGTATAATCATCGTATTAATTTGGTTAGTGTTTTGGGTTTTAAGTTTCTATGTCTATTCACAAAAAAACATATTCAAGTTTTATCATTCTGGAAATAATTTTATCATTTAAATAACAATTAATTCCAAAAACAATTTGTACAAAGCGCAAAGATCAGAAATTAAATTACCTCAGAAGTGAGATATTTTCAATTCTCCATTGTGCACATTTAGTACGTGTACGGCTTTTATTTTATCATGGTTTCGGTTTGTTTAGTGAGCAGATCACTGTACTTGGTGCATTGGTGGTCTGATCGGATTATTTTGATTTAGCGAATCACAAGAATGGTGGATAAATTATTTGCCTCCTTCGATTTTCTAAGCTAGTAAATAATCAAATAATTACCCACGCGCCGCCACTGGTCAGCACCCAACGACACTTGGTTAATTAATCAAGCTGATCATTATTAATCCCATTTCCTCTCCTTATAAGGTTCTAATTGGTCACATAAATTGAGTTTTCTTTAAACTATAATAAATCACTACAATTCAAGTTTTTAAATATTACTAATTAAGGTTTAATACAGAATATATATTTTCCAGACGTATTTCAATCAAAATGCTTTAACACTTATACGTTCACTGATCACCGGAGGTGCAACGCCCGAACTGGAATTGATCTTGGCTGAAGGAGCTGGTTTAAGAGGAGGTTACAGGTATGCATATTACAAAACGTTTGTTCCTACACAAATTGTCTCTTATTGTAGCACTCCAGAAAGTCTCTCCAATAGAGACAGATGCCGAGTTGGTCAAATATCTCTCTACGATGGACCTTTGGCTCAATTTGGAGAAACGGGAAAATATGGAGATCTATTCGTCGCCGCTCTTAAGCAATTCGGAATGTTGTGTATAGGACTTTATCGATTTAGAGACACCAGCTCATCTTGCGATGCTAGTAGTAAACGATACGTTATTACTAATCCTCCCGATGACTTTCATCTGTTACCTACAGATCAAGTAAATAGAAGAAAACATATGTACTTAGATATATTTATACCTATATGATGGAGGTATCATGTCTTTCGAACAATCTTGAACAATTTCTTTTAAGGGTAGATTTTTGAAATTGTTATTATAGTCAATAATGAAAATTGTACAGGTACATTTTTGATACTTCGAAAACAAAGACAACGTTCTGTTAAATGCAAAAATGTTTAAAATCCTTGTCCAAATCATCATCAATCGCATCATAATCAGAGGACTAAAGTCGGTTAGAATGATTGAACAAATGAACGATTATTTTATAAACGTTGGATGCTCTTACATTTCATTAATATATTATATAGTCGAACTCTCCGACGTTTGACGTTATAGGGTGGTAACTAATTCTAACATGTTAGAATTAGTCGGCGATCTAATACTTTTACTGGTCACATTTCTTGCACGGCTTTCTACTTTTGAGTTTTGTTTTGAGGACATTTTGGTTTATTTACTTGTTCTAGGTATTCGTTTTAATGCAGTTCGATCCCGGTCTGGAATATAAGCAGGTCAGAGGAGGTCGAAGCGGAACCGGCCAAGGGAGCGGAACAGGAGGAGGAGGCACGAACAAGGATGAGAACTCTTGACTATTGCTGTGTAGCGCTCTCACTGACGGACCATATTCTTATATATAAAGATGGTTCTATAAGCAAATTCCCACAAAGGTTATTACCATTCCAAAGCGTTTTCCATAATGCTTTAAGTAATTTAGGTTCGGCTTCGAATTTGTTCTGACAATTTAGCTGAAATTAAGTTAGATATGTAAATTTCAATATGTTTCCATATGTTTTACACTGGTTTCTGGATGATTACCGCGTTCAACCACGACAGAAAATGTCAACTCTCATTGAGACCAAACTCCATAGGAATTCCATCAAGATACATGCAAGTCCTATAGAAATTCAAGAACATCTAATATTGAATTTAGCCCATATGACAATTCCACACTGTCTATGATGTCTAAAAAATCGAAAATGAAGGTGATTCGTTATCAACTGTAATTATATTTTTAAACAATGTGTTATTTTTCTGTTTCAATTAATTTGCTTTGTTATTGTGGGCCACATCTGGAAAATGATAAAATAGTGAAGACGCTACACAACAATGAATACGAAACGCACTTTGAAGTGTGTTGGATGTAAATTTCTGTGCAATATAAAATAAGTAGTCGCGATAAATTAGTTGTATTTAGAAACTATTACCATGAAGTTCCATTAGAATGGGATCCAAGAAAACACCTTCCCATTATTTAGTATCCCTAGGAGAAAGTGTTTTGCACCTAATGCAGTTGAACGCCAACATTCCCTCAAAGCTTACAGTAAGCATCGCACATTAACGTTGTTCTTTCGGTGGCTTAAAACCTCGTGGTACCCCGCTCTAGCTGATTTATAACGCTTTGTCAATTTGAAATATCATCATTTTTTCGAAACAGTTATCACTTTGATAGTGATGATTGGAATTAAAAAACCTTCAAAAGCGATTATTTTTAATGAATATAACATTTTACTCATTTGCTTTTTAGTAATTGGAATTAATGTAATTTACGACTCAATCTCAAGAAATAAATCACAACGGATTACTAATATAATATGTGCGACAATCTTTACATTTTCAACTGTTGAAACGCCGATTTGTTAATTACAGCACAAACTTAAGCCGCATGACTTTAATAGCGTGTTTATCTTGTATTTGTGTCAAAAATTGTAAAATATAAAGCAACATCGTACACATAAAATACATCGTTTGTTAAATATATTAGTGGCTGTTCAATATTACCGTCCACAGACGCGATTGAAGACATTTCCTCAAAAATACTTACTTTACGAACGTTAGCTCAGTGTGCTCTAATTTTTGTGCCAGTGACTTAATTTTCTGTGTTGAGTGAATTTATTTTGCAATCATTTTCTACAGAATCAGAAAACTAGCAATATAAAGAACTATCCGTTGTTTCGAAAGAAAAACATTGGCCATTGTTTTCTAACTACTACTCTAATATCGGTCGTTTTCAAGAAAAATTATAATTTACAATATCAAACCTAACTGAGCCAACCGCTATTCGTTAATTCGTCCTCGTATAATGTTTATTATTCATTACTCATTTGCAACGATCAGTTTTTGACCCACTTTTCACTTCAGCAATCTCAATTTAGTGAATGAGCTAAGAAAGTACTCAAATATATTCGGGTTTTACAAATAAAAAATGTTCATCTTTATTATGGTCAGTTGAAACAGTCAAACGATTAACATTGAAAAATGATTGAATATATTTCTCAATACAGTTCTTGTCTTACTTTTATTAAGCAGATTCGAAATGATGATATTTTAGAAAAACGTACACAATACCCCTTGCCTATATATTAGATCGTATATACATATAGTGTAGATTTCATATTTCGAAATAATGTGAATATTGTAAATTGCTTTCGATGTATATAAACGGATATTAGCAATTGTCGTGAAAAATGTGTTGTAACCAAAGGCATTAATAATTTTAATCTGATGTAATAACAGTACTTAGATACACTCAGATACCTATAAGTAACGGCTTCTGATATATCGAAAAATCTGCTTATTTGTCTTAGCACATATTCGTAGTGCTAAAAATCTGCATTTACTTTTCGTATAGGAAAAGAACTGACAAACTTATGTACATTTTTCAAACGCTTATTTAAAAGCGTTGAGTATGTTAATGAAAACTGAAATTTTTCAGTGGATTTCACTGGAATTGAAGCACATGGTATATTGATAAATTTGTATTGAAACATTCTCTGGCTCTAATTGTCAATTTTAATACACAGACGAGCGCAATGTTTACCTTCTAATACATGCATAAATACCATTTTAGTTAGTTAATAATTATATTATCAGTTGTGATCATTAAATAGAAGTAGAAACTTTCGGGATGAAATAAACCTTGTTGATTGTGTATTGATTGTATGCGAATAGTTTTCGTTTCAAATTTTATGCATTCACCATTGACATGTTATATGTTATAAATAATAACAACTGCGAGAATTATTAAGATTTGTAAAGCTTCAGCTCTCTACAGATCATAAACTTAACAATTGAATTGTGATATTGTAAATAAAACCAAACATATTATGTTTGTTAGGATTCTATGGTGTACAGAGAAATAATTTGTTAGCAATATTGACTGTGAAAACCAAATTGTTAAATCTACGACAAATTCTTTTTATATATTGTGCGAAACTATTTTAGTCAATTTTATCACATCTAGCAATCGATTAAATTCATAAGTTTTTATTCTAACAGTTCCGATTTCCATCATTTTAGATGTTTAAGTGTATTTTTAAATTTGCAACTCTTCACATGAGTGTCTTAGCAAAGTGTTGATTCTCAATTGACGTTATGAGTTTTGTAGTTTTATTGTTGAGTCAATTTTATAAAAGTTATCATAATTTTGAATACCATGTTTTATTCAGTCCGAGCTAGTAAACCCTTCCCCATTTTAAATTATTATATCACATATTAAACTAAAATATGTGAAAATATATGGGGTGTCCCAAAAAGCTAAGTTCAACTTGAATCTGAGAAAATATAACATAGAAGAATTATCTGGACCACTGGATTCTACGGGAAAAACTGTACAAAGAATCCGTTTTATGTTTCCAATATTCTGCTTCGAATTCGAGATAATTATACTGAAATTGAATTTAAAAAAACGCAGACTTTTTATCACCACCCTACATCCACGAAACTAAGAAAAATTGACACCATGTACAGAATATCGATTCAAAGCATAACATAACATAAGCAAAACATAGCAGAAAATAAATTTCGTTACATACGCAGTTATGCACTGCAGTCATTTCTGTCGTATGCTCTCGTTATCGAGTTTCTCATGAATTTCAGAACAATTATAAAAAGAACGCTCGGCTTGACTTCCCAGTAGCCTTCGTCATCATGTCGTATGTAGTGCAATAGCACATAACATATTATGTATCCTTTTTATCATCAGACCTTCTAAGGAAGACTCATTGCAAAGATCCACCCTAAAGCGGAAGTCACATTATTTCTTCTTTGTGGTCTACTAACGTTCAGTATTTATCTCTTGGAACTGCTCTGCGGCACATTCTCCTTCCAAGTACTTTCAAAGTTTTTTAAGAAATCTTATATAAACATATCTCTGCTATGAAACCGGACTTGTGGAAGATCTCGGCATTGAGGAAGATGAGCCGCGTCTCCACCTTTCCGTGTGGGATTTTCGTTGACACGCTATCCAACCAAGTCAAAAACAAGGAATCAGCAAGACTCATTACGGATAGAGCCAGGAAAATATGTAGACCACAGCACCTAGCAGCTCAACTAAAACATTTAGAATGAGCTTTCATTCAAAACAGATACTTTTGACATCAAAAGAGCAGTAGGCGTGGACCGTGCCAAAAAGAGTCAAACCACCCAAAGGGCTTTTCTGCCTCTCATTCGCTCAGTTACGGACATAATTGGCAAGATCCGAGAGAAACGTAAGATAAAAACAATCTACAAGCCCACGGCAAAGATCTAGGAATGTCTAAGTTAAGGACGAACCTTCCCTCGCGATTGCAGGTATCTACCGAATCCCATGTTGGAAGCGGCTACATAGAAACCATGAAGGGATCGGTTAAAACGAGAATCAAAGAACAGCGACGAAATTGAAAATTGGGACATGTGTAAAAGGCGGCAGTGGCGGAACATGCCCTCAGCGAGGTAGCGCACAGCATCAAACTTACAGAAACTCAAGTCCTAGCCTCAACAATAGGCTATCGCTTCCGACTGATACGAGAAATCATCGAAATCCACAAACACAGCGACAATTTTAGCATAAAATAAGAGACAATGGCGAGACAACATACCATACCTACGAATTTACTTAAGGGTTCTAAGATCTTTTTTGGGTAAAAAGATAATTTTTTGGGATGAGCTAACCTATTGGTATACCATTGATCTAGGATTATTAATGACTGCTGCGCCAAGCCCGTATTAAACTTAAATACTCTCACTAACAATTTTTCCTCGCGATTTGATGTCGTCAGTAAATTCAGTTCAGATAGACTATTATTCAGATGTCCTTATAATTACGTTATGAATTAATCTACAGAACAGAGGAAACACAGCCTATGTTGATGGTACTATTCGGATTTTGGATTTTTCGGAATAGTGATGAATTTGCCACATATCTTACACCGAAGCGGTGTCAGAATTTCCAGAAATTAGTTGTCCGTTTCACATAGGGTTTTTAATATTTCCCCATGGCTGTCGTTATCTAGATATATGTTATGTTTATGAGATTTTTAACTGTCTACCTCTGATTTGAGGGATGGAGCGACGATCAGTTGGGTCTCTTAGGTGTTTATTTACGGAATTAGACGAAAATAAAAAATATTTGTCGGTTCTCAAATAAAACAGCTCTAACCAATCTAATTGCCTGTTGTTAAACCAGGGCCCAATGCATTTCTTTAATTCCATTTAATGCTTTGAAAACAGTACTTTTCTACTATTGCTAATCGCCACATCTTCCAAAAATCATAATATTTCTCTAATGTGTGTCCTTTTCATCGTTCTTAATTATGTGTAGCCGTATTTCCACCATCTTGTCCAGAAGCACTATTTAACGCTCACACTTTACGTTCAAGAACCTAGTATTTAGGAGAAAAAGTAAATCAACAGAATGCTCTAAATCGAATTACATATAATAAACCTGAAAATATACTAAGGGGATCTACATGACTTTTAATTTCAAAAATACAATAAACAACATTACATTTTACTGTATATACTTTCCTGACTGTGCTTCAATTCCAAATCAAAATTTATTCCTGGGTTTCAGTCATTTATTGTCTCTATTTATCAATTAAAATACGTTTCGGTGTATTTTTCCACCATCATCAGTTTTTATGTGTAGCTGCTTTAAGGAGACAATAAATGACTGAAACCCAGGAATAAATTTTGATTTGGAATTACATTTTACTATTGCACTGTTTTTTCTATTTAAAACCTGAGATGACGGTTTTCCAACGTAGGAATTTTTGAGGAAAATATGAAAGTCCAATAAGATTACAAAGTTCAAAGTGCATGTTTACTATCGTATTCAGTTAACTTGTCAACCACAGACTGTTTTGGATCTGCTTTCCATCGCGTTGTTGCCGATTGCTATTATGTGAAATAAAGTAGTGTTTCTTAATTTTTGGTAATAGGTAGGAAAAGAAAATAAATTAATTGATACTTTTATCAACATTATTTTATAGTGGAAACTAGGGCAATTTTCTTTAGTGTTCCACCTTCTGACCAAATTTCTCCGGTATTTGAATAGGGAATAGTTTGTGGTCTAATTATTTTTATTATACTTCTTTTGCTAATATTAAATTGCCATTGAACCTGAGTAAGGACTTCAGTTTTAATTTTACTTCAATCGAATTCAGGCTGATTCCAACATAGTATTAACCTTTGGAAGAAAAATTATTTTTTCCACAAAGAATATTTGTATTATTTGGCAGCGCTGGTATGCGAACATATGAAATAGAATTGGTGATTGAGGAGAAATATATAAATAATTATACAGTGGGAAATAAGTGTATAGTGTTTTGTTTTTGTTTTCGGTGAACGTTGATTTCAGACTTTGGAGTTTTTGGTGAATTGCACAATCCTTTCGGCTCTTCTGTTAGGTGTATTGGGAGAACTGAATGAGAAATGAGTTTTAATTCAGGACATTCAATCAAAATTGGTAAGATTTTTACATAACCAACATAATGTGATACTTAGGAATTAATTAATAAAATATCTATTCAGTCAACTAACTGTTGAAAGAAACTGATATTACGATATTAAAATCCTATCGAAATGACCTTTGGAGCATAACTAATTAGAACATATTATTTTAAGCGAAACAACTGAAATATTTTACAAGATGTTATTCAGACCTATTTCCGAAAATAACAACCCATTACACCATACATCCAAGAGACAAGGATCCACGTTGGAAAGGTAAGTCCCATTTTGTACAAAAAATGTAAAATTTAAAAGAGCCCTGGCTCACTAGACATTTTCATACATACATCCCAAAATAGGCCAAAACAGTAAAACCACTAAATTTTCTTGATTATCGAGATTTTCAATAATTTGTGAATACAAGTGCTGCGAATAGTTATTCTGTAAATGTGACAAAATATACAGGGTGTTTGGTAAGTAGATGCATTTCTTGCAGGGGGTGATTAAGTGCAATTAATTTTGGATATATTTTGTTAATAGTTCCAAAAACGGTTCTGAAAACCATTAGTTTCCGATCTACCGGGTGTTAAAGTTTTAATACAAAAAATGTTATTTAGTACTACAGTTGAGTCCGGATATAACGAACTTGAAAAATGAACTAAAACTGGTTCGTTATATCCGGAGTTTGCTATAAGCGAATAATAATACAAAAACACGTGGTGTATTTTATTTCGTTATTTTTACATAGAGTAGTAGAAGTTAGTAGGTATGACTAAAAAGAACATAAAAAGATAAACAAAATTCAATTTGAAATCTACTTCATAGTCTATAATTTTTGTTTGTACATTTCTGCAAAAATAGATGTTTTTTATGTAGTTTTCAAGATCACAAAAGGACTCCCAGATATGATTAGGAACTTGGCGTGATTGTAGAAAATTCCGAGTTTCTGACACTTTTTTTGTCATTTCAGAAATGGTTGGAACAGCGTTAGTGTCTACAGTAGAATACGTTTCACCTAAATCGTCATCTTTCTCATTATCGCTTAAAGCTGTAGATGAGGTTACGGAGTCTATAATTTGCTCATCGGTCAACATTTCTCTTGTAAGAATGCCATTATCAATGCTCACATATTCGAAGAAATTGAAATCACTCAATTTGGTTTTAACTTGTTATTCGACAACATTGGGACATCTTCGTCGGTGTCATACTCGTAGTCAGAGTCTTTATACTTTTCTAACCATTCGTCAAGTGGAATTTCATCGTCTGGTTCATAATCATTTTCTTTTCTTACAAATCCCCCATGCTTAAAGCAATTTGCAATGGTTTTTCGGCTGACTTTTTGCCAAGCTCTATGAATGAAATTGACTGCATCTAAGAGATTTATAGAAAATGTTTCATTTTCATCGATCGTCTCTAACCTTTTCATAAGAAGAATTTTTCACCGGCACTCTCCAACAATTTTTCCGCTACTGATATTATGCCTCTTATTGAAACGCTCTTCCCAACTTTTAGAACAAGCAAACTCTTTGTTTTTGATTTTACTCCCCATTTCACTAGCATTTTCTTGCAAAACACTGCCAATTATGGGAACGTTTCCTTGTCTTTTTTACGTAAACCACTATATAAATCCCTTGTCAACCTTTTCATGTGCAGATATTTTTATCTTGCTACATCTAACATTTGTTTTGTCATACGCTGATAAAAGGATTTCTCTGTTTTTCCATATTGTTGCACCAGTAGACTTTACAAGTGCTAATTCTTTACAAATGTCACTCTGCTTTACTCCACTTTTTATTTTGTTAATAATCTCGCACTTTTCATTTGGTGAAAAAGCTTTGCGTTTTTGTTTTTCCATTCTAAAACGATTTACATACATAACCCGGCAAAAACAACAAGTCACTGCCTGTCTCTCGCTCTCACTAATATAAACAACTCCGCAGGATTGGTATTGCTGAGCGTGGAAGTTCGTTATAAACGGAAAGTGAATATACAACCATGCTAAAAAGTGATCGTTATATCCGGAAGTTCGTTATAAACGGGTTCGTTATAACCAGTAAAAAAATACGTTGGTCTTTATGGACGACGTTTCAATTAAAGGAAAAAAATTCGTTTTAACCGAAAGTTTACTATAACCGGGTTCATTATAAGCGGACTTTTCTGTATTTTGAAAACCGCATGGACTATTATAATGAAATTTGACAGGCTTAGGCAACTAAGAACAATACACGTTTTGCGATAAAAATGTTGTTTCTATCTTTTCCAGTGATGTGGCTACAGGCACGTCTGTGGATAATTTTAAATAAAAAAATGTTACGCCACTGATTTTTCTAAAAGTAAATAATATTACACAAAAGTAATAATTGCTGTCATTTCGAGTGTCTGAGTAACTTTAGTTGTCACCTTCTTTTTGCGATTTATGTAATTTCGAGTAAGTTCACATAAGTTGAAAACTTTATTTGTTGGAATGGAGTTTTCCAATGCTGAATACGCAGATATTCTTTACATTTATGCACTTTGCGACAGAAATAGTGGCGGCTTCCAAATATCCGTGTCTTTGCAAACACCTATCGAAGGGTCAGTGAGTCAGGAAAAGGACAAGGTAGGCAAATTCACATAGGAGCAAACTGTAAGGGAGTACCTTGATCAGCGTTTTCCTAATCGATGGATAGGGAGAGGAGGCCCCATATAATGGCCTGCTAGAAGCCCAGATCTAACTCCGTTAGACTTTCACGTATGGGGTAGGATGAAGGAGTTGGTTTATGCCGGAAAAATACCTACAAGGGACGAATTAATACAGCGCATTACAGATGCCGCTATTACACTTAGACATACATTTTCGGCCAGGGTAACCCGGTCAGAAATAAGAAGGCAGGCACATGCATGCGTTAGAGAAGGGGGCTTCATTTTGAGCAAGATCTTAAGTAGTTAAGAATTAATGAATAACATAATTTTTTTTCCGTATCAAAGCAAGCTTGGTGCTGATTTCAATACTAAGAATAAGTAAAATTTTAATTAACAGGTAAATTAATCTAATAGGTAAAAAACAAATAAAGAAACTAGAAAATTTTTGTAATAAAATTGAAATAATCTACTCGCGCAATTTTTGTGGTCTTTATACTAAACCATACTTAACTACAACCCGATTAAGCTATGCAATAAATCGATTTTAATTTGTTTACTCGCAAACGGGACGTTCTTGGAAAAAAAACGTCAAGAGACTTTTCTCTTCCAAATTGAACAGAAACTTGAAAAATATTATTTATTTTTAGAAAAATCAGTGGGGTAACATTTTTCTATTTAAAATTATCTACAGACGTGCCTGTACCCACGCCACTGGAAAATATAGAAACAACATTTTCATTACAAAACGTGTATTGTTCTTAGTTGACTAAGCCTGTCAAATGTCATTGTAATATTCCTAGCGGTTTCCTAAATATTAATAAATATCTTTTTTATTATTAAAACTTTAACACCCTGTAGATCGGAAACTAATGGTTTTCGGAACCTGGTCTATTAACGAAATATATCCAAATTTACTTGCACTATCACCCTCTGCAAGGAATGCATCTGCTTACCAAACACCCTGTATAACTTTTGAGATACCTATTATTATCCAAACATTTTTAAGCGACATGGGAACTTTATACTATTTGATATCACCAATTTAAAATATGATTTTAATAGAACTTGTGAATTTTAAAAACGACTAATTTAAAAGAAATAAGTACCAATATTTATTTTGTGACATTTGCAGAACAATTCTGTATAACATTTGTAAAATTTACGCATTTTTGGTATTGAAAACTAAGATACTGGCGTTTTCATAAATTTTAAGTTACAAATTTACCTTGAAACTCAGCTTATCAAACTGCACATCTTTTTATCATTCAACCACCCTTTGGTCTACTTTATAACAACCTTTCAGGGTTCTATGCTTAGGCATAGATGAAAACTTTGCCGTGTGGGCTATAATTTTTAATTCTGAACGAATTTGTAATACTAGTTTTACCCTGCTTTAGGCATTCTTAACAATAGCATTAACTACTCCTTAAATATACGGGGCGACTCAAAATTGTCGTCAATACTTTCCAAAAGCTATGGTAAAGTTTACGGCCGGCAAATTTAAGTTTAATTTTTTACTTAAATTTACTTCATCTGAAAAAGTTTCATTGATCAAAAAGTCATGGATTGTCCCTGATCATAAAAAACCACTTGGATCCACACTTTTAAAATTCAGTGTTTTTACACACAAAAATTAGATTCGCTAATGCTAAGTACCTACTTGCAAAGAGAGAAATAAGTATTTAAATATTTCAAATATTAGTTTTTCCAAAGCAAGGATATAAATACCTGGACTTCAGGGTGTACAAGAGTGGTATTTCCATATTTGATCACAGAACTACATACACATTTCACAATTTCACGTTAAAACAAAAGTTCCGGCAAAAATGTACAAAATTAATACAACGACAGGAAGTGCGACTTTGGATAGGTACAATTCGATGTTTAGCTATGGTGATTGAGTTGTTTGAGTTCTTCCGAATTTATGGGTTTTTTTCTTTTTTTAGCTCAAAGAACATTTCAAATTAAGCGTGAATCATCGAAAAAAAATGCGTGAATGGTCCATAAATTAAGTCAAAAAACCTTTACAAAGTTTTGAAATTGGCTGTTCCAAAACCACCTATTTATGCACGAAAATGAGATTGTCCGGTGTTATTTGCTGTTAAATCGTGTTTTAGGTATCAACAATTCATAACTCCACATGCTAAAATGCATAATAATTGTGTTTTTCACAAAAGTTTAAAAAATATATTTTCTAACATTACCAATTGATTGAGATTGTGTTTCGGGAATGAAAACACAATGCAGTGTTGTCACGTATTTTAGCGCTTTTTTCCTTTCCGTTAATTTTGAGTTAATTTGTTTGTGTTAGCATAGTTGAAGTGACTTTTTTAATAAATCTAAAAAATATACACAAAAAGTAAAAGTTAGTAACCCGAAAAAACCTAAATATGTAATCTAAATCGACCCAAATTGAATAAATCTACATGCTAGGTATCCAAGGAAACAATTTTCATGAACTTAAAACGTTTTGCACAGTTTGGCAACGCCGTTCGAAATTTAGCCTAAAACTGGTAATTTTCCTCAAACTTTGTGAGTGTTTTTTGGCTTAATTTATGGACCATCCAGGATTTTTTTTCGCTGAAGCTGCGGACTCAAACGACACAAGCGTTGCAGATTTACTTATGACAACAGTCTGCAAAATAACTATGAAACTGCTTTAAAATATTATTTAACTCAAAGAAAAAGTTCAAATAAGCTGAAAAAAAGTTTCCGTGGGCAGCATTTTTTTTCCTGCTGTAGAATAAATACTTTTTCACAGCGGATCTTTGTCAAAATCTATCTGCCTGGAATGCATGGTAGCCGCTGTGTTACATCCGCCGTTAAGTCCGCCAAATTACCATCTAACTGCTTTAAAGTACCTATTAACCACTTAATGTTTTAAAAATAAATAAACTCAAATATACTGTTGGTGCCCCAGTGCCCCAATTCAAAATTATGATTACGCCAGTTTCGAACCATTCTATAAATGTAGTTTTCATATTTAAAAGATTCACACTCTATTTTCTAGAAGTAAACATGGAGAGATTCGCTGATGAAACGGATATTTTAATTGTTGGCGGCGGTCCAGCTGGAATGAGTGCTGCCATCAGAGCTAAGCAATTAGCGGAAAAAGATGGAAAAGAAGTTAGGGTATGTTAAAAAATAGTGCTTAGAATAGATCAAGTATTTCTGATTGGATCAAATCCGTAACTACCCAGATGCTTTGTGGTGGTCGATAACACAATTACCTAATAAACGGCTTAAAGCCAAACCAAAACAACAAGTACATAATTATAAACCAATGAAATACAGAGAGTAGATTTAGAATATACGAATATTTACAGGTGTGAATCCGCATAGAAAATTAATAGCGGTTTGCTCTGTAAACTATTATCCCAAACGATTGCTATTAGAGTTGAGCAACAAATCACTACCTGTGATTTTTTCACAGCAATTAATAAATCGCAATCACAATCTGTGACGGACATAAAAATAAACTGTGATCTAAAACGTGATATTAAAGAACGACTTATATTTTCACTGCTAACGCAGCTATTGCGAGTTGCGTATAGTGTCATATTGCACATGTGGCCCGACGGCAGAACGAACCCAAATAAAATTATTTTATTCGTTAATGAAAGTTTGCATTCACGGGTTCCCACGAGCCTGGATTTTATTGATATTTTTGCCGGATAGAAGAAAGTGCCTTAGCGCCATCAAAACCAAAATGCTACGATTTATGAACACCTATTTTCACTCAAATAAAGTTTTTTTCAGATCAAAAATTAAAATCAAATATGGTTTGTTCACAAAGAATTAAGAGCTCATTCGCTTTTCGTTCTGGGTAAAACAATAGTTTTTTGTTCCTATTTTAATTTTTTTCAGAATGTTTTTAGAACTCCTAGAGTAAATGTGAAGCCAGTTGCGAAATGCAGAGGCTGTTATTTTTTAGTATCCTTAAAATCATTTGTAATTTAAGTATAAAAAATTATTTGTTGTATACTTAAATAAGGGTATTTATAAAAAAATATGAAATACAAATCTTTTTAAATTGTTTCTGCAAGTGGCGCACAATTGCCCATCACCTTATGACGCTGCTAAGGTCATACACAGGGTGTCCCGTAAGCACATGATAAAAAGCGCACTGCGATATTCTTTTGATCAGAAGAAAACGATTTGACCTAACTTTATTAACAAAAAATGTCTGGCTCCTCTGGTATTGATGGTCAAAGTTCTTCAAAAAAATTATCTTTTTGAAATATCGGGAGAATCGTACGATGTATTATGGTGAAACTCGATGTAAATTTGTTTTTATGTAGGACTAATATTTCCATGGAACAATCGAGATTTGGACAAGTGGTGAATTCTTGAGTGTCGTGGTACAAAAACTACCAGAACCTTTTATTTGGTGCATAAAATCATGTCATTTTTTTTTTGGTTGATGCTCTAATCATTTATTCACAATTTTCTGCTCTCTGTAAAATCTTGTAGCATTTATAGTTTTTGCAAAAAAAAATGTTTCTGTTTTCTTGCCATTAACAATGTTAGTCATTAACTGCAAATATGTGCCGCGTAAACGCGTACGATTTCACGCAAGTTGTCTTCGCAAAACCCTAATACTTTGACCCTGTCGGTCACTTCTTCATTAGAAACGAATTTGTGAGATTGATTGACAATTAATTTATGCCTCGTATCACGATGTTTGAAATTAATGTCTAACATTGTCAAGTGGAATGATAAGCGAAATATTGTTTTTCGCAAAAACATTGAATGCTACAAGATTTTACGAAGAGCACAAAATTGTGAATAAATGACTAGTGCATCAACCAAAAAAAAATGAATTGGTTTTATCCACCAAATAAAGAGTTCTGGTAGTTTTTGTACCACGACACTCTAAAATTCACCACTTGTCCAAAACGGATAAACTCGATTGTTTCATCAAATTAAGTTAGTGAGTTATACATAGGAACAAATTCACAGCGAGTCTCATACTCTCATAAAATACATCGTACCATTCTCTCGATATTTCAAAAAAGATAATTTTTTTGAAGAACTTAAACCATGAATAGCAGAGGAGCCAGACATTTTTTGCTAATAAAACTTAGGTCAGATCGTCTTCTTTTCATGCAAAGAATATCGCAGTATCCTTTTGATCAAGTGCTTACGGGACACCCTGTATAACGTAATCGGCAACCACACGTTAAATAACATTCAGAGGTTAAATTCACAGTTTAAAAAATCACATTCACAGTTATAACAGTGATTTTGAAATCACGCTTTAGCTTATCTCTAATTGCGATACGTGGTGTTTACATTTTCATAAGTTCAATTCTAATTGTACGTTTTAATAAACGCGCATTTCTAAACGACTTGATTCCGTTTTAAAAAAAGATATGCTCTTCTTTCCAACTTTATCCAGATCAGGACCAAAATTAAGAGAACAATGGTGAAGCATAATTTAATAGTGGGGAGTGGCGAGTTTGTATCGGTGCGGCATTTGTAAATAACCTGAGATTACATTATTTCTGAGATTGTAGAGTACATTTGGTACACATCTATCCATATAAGATATTATTGAGACAGTACATTTAACTAACTCTAACGTGAACGCAATGAGCACGAACTTAAATGAGAACATTCGTAGGTATGCCTTGTTGAAAAAGCATCAGAAGTAGGTGGACACATTTTATCTGGTGCTGTAATACAACCTACTGCCCTTAATGAATTAATTCCGGACTGGCAAGAAAAAGGAGCACCTTTGAAAACTCCCGTGAAAGAAGACAAATTTGCCTTTTTGACTGAAACCGGACGAATACCGATTCCGGTTTTACCTGGTATATATAAAAAAAAGAAAAGCAATTCCAAATTGGAAAGGTGATCTTGACTTTAGGAACCCCGATGTATAATCATGGGAACTACGTTGTTAGATTAGGCCATGTAGTTCAATGGCTAGGAGAACAAGCAGAAGCGCTGGGAGTCGAAATATATCCTGGATATGCAGCATCTGAAGTGTTGTACCATGAAGACGGAAGTGTAAAGGGCATCGCTACAAATGATGTTGGTATAGCTAAAGACGGTAGTCCGAAAGACAATTTTGAACGTGGAATGGAACTCCATGCAAAATGCACAATTTTTGCGGAAGGGTGTCATGGACATCTCAGTAAACAAATTATTAACAGATTTGATTTGCGGAAAAACGCTGAGCACCAAACATACGGAATAGGTAAACGCTGATGAACACTGAGAATATTCGTGGTTATTATTGCACAGCGCTATTTCAGGCCTGAAGGAATTGTGGGAAATAAATCCAGACAAGCATAGTCCTGGTAGAGTTGAACACTCTATTGGATGGCCTTTAGATAAAAATACTTACGGAGGATCATTTTTATACCACCTGAATGAAGACACTCCATTGGTAGCCGTGGGATTTGTTGTGGGCTTGGACTACTCAAATCCTTATTTGAGTCCTTTCAGAGAGTTCCAAAAGTAGGTAAAACGCGTTGAACCTCAATTACTTATTTCTAATTTAATATTCATTAGGTTCAAACACCATCCATCAGTGAAACACTACTTTGAAGATGGAACAAGGGTAGCTTATGGTGCTAGAGCATTAATAGAAGGAGGATTTCAGAGCATCCCTAAGCTCACCTTTCCTGGAGGGTGTTTAGTGGGTTGTGCGGCGGGTCTAATCAATTTACCAAAAATCAAAGGTTCTATTAACCGATAACATAAATAGTACAAGTATTAAGTAAGAGTTGGGAAATTGCAGGAACTCACAACGCAATGAAAAGCGGGATGTTAGCTGCAGAAAGTGTATATGAAGCGATCAATGGAGAAAAGCAAAAAACAGAAGGTTTTCAACCAATTACGTATGAAGAAACATTTAAAAATAGTTGGATATACAAGGAGTTGAAGGCTGTAAGAAATATAAGACCCAGTTTTCATAATCCACTCGGTTTATATGGGGGATTGGCTTACAGTGGTTTTTCAGTTGTTGTGGGAGGTAGAGAGCCGTGGACACTTAAACATGGCGGTAAGTTCCAGAAGATTATTATAATAATTGCATCTGATTATTTCATTAAATTATAGATCCTGATCATAAAAGGCTGAAGCCAGCTAAGGAATGTAAACCAATTGAATATCCTAAGCCTGATGGAAAAATCAGTTTTGATTTACTTACCTCGGTAGCTTTGACAGGAACAAATCATGAAGGCGACCAACCTGCTCATTTAACATTAAAAGACGATACAGTTCCGGTTAACCATAATCTTGCTGTTTTTGATGGGCCAGAAGGCCGATTTTGCCCTGCTGGTATGTTGTACAACTATTTTCTTTTCACGTTTATATTTATTTTACTTTTTTTTTATAGGCGTATACGAATTTGTATCATTAGAAACCGGAGATGGACAGAGGCTACAAATAAATGCTCAAAACTGTATACATTGCAAAACATGTGATATAAAAGATCCAAGCCAGAATATCAATTGGGTTGTTCCAGAAGGTGGCGGTGGACCAGCTTACAACGGAATGTAACATATTTAATTGCAAAATGAAAGTATCGTAGACTTGCAAAATGAAAGTTTCGTAGACTGATCAGCAAAACTTACTTTACCAGTCCTTTGTTGAAAACTGTTACCTTCTTAACGGACTGAAAATATCAAGGTGATGAAAATCTTTAGAGTATTGTAAAGCGAATAATTAAATCTAAGAGTACTTTTCTACTTGATCCTTTTTTAGAATTCAAATATTATCAATTATAATTGTGGCAAATATTTATTGCAACTGATATTGTAATGTATTTTTATATGAAATATACGTGTTATTAATATTATGGTAATTTATTCTGAGTAAAAGCGTTGCATAAATTAATCGTTTAATAAATCCAAGTAACACTAATCTATTTTTTTTTAAATTGACAATTTACCAATTTTTTGCAATGGAACATCCTGCTATTATTACATTTTTTAAAAGCGCGTTTTTGTTTGATTTGCAAAATATATACAGGATGTCCCACCAGGAACCCCGTCGCGATCGAAATCTAGCAAAGTGTAATTAGGAGAAATTTGACAATTGAACAGTGTGCCGAAATCATTGGGGGCAACCGGTCTAAATTATTTTCAAGATGACCACACTTCCGGTTATACCGGAAGTAGGTATCGACTTGCTTATTTCAAATGGAACACCCTATATATTATTACATTTTCGAATTCTACTCCAACTTCTAAATATATTTCGTGCATAATATCCTAACCTAAGTCCCACAATTTTTGATATATTTGAAATTTTCTGTAAAAAAAACAGTTGCAGCTACTCGAATAATTATGCATTTTTCCTAAATGGGAATATGTGTTACTTAATTTGAGTCACATTTCTGTTGAAAAATACTTACTTTAATGGAATTTCGACAATAGTTCGATAACTATTAACACAAAGTGTTAAAAAAAATAGTTTTAAAATAAAAGTTGAGAAAACCGCCCAAAATCATTTTTTTCAAATGGAAACCCCATAGACATACATCGTATAACATGGGGACCACAATATCCAATACCAAACTTGACCTCAATTTTTGATACTCAAAATCGTTTTCTAACTCGAATTTTCAAGGTCAATCTTTCATCCTCTTGCGATCGATTTCATTGAATTTTAAAGCTTCGTTATCCCTCTATCGACCGATATCATCGGCAGCTCAATCGAATTATTAGTTGAATTTTTCGAAATTTTTCTTTACATGAAAACATGGATAAGTCAAAAATTCTAGAACATTTTTGCGATTCCTTGATCTCGCTAAAATCGGAAACATATAGTTTCTTATCATGGCATTCACAAGTCATTAACCAAATCTCTTAGCTATGTTTCGGTCTAACGAGAATACATTCATCATCATTTCTGATTTTTGGGAAGAATTTCAGTTGATCGGTACCAACATTGACCAATTACATGTTGAGTTGATTCGTATTTGTCTCTAAATGGTTCTTTCCCAATTTAACTTTGGAAATACCTACTAATATTTAATACAAGTAAGAAATATAGTCTAGAAGTCAACACCAATAAAACAAAAATAATGGTAATTAGTAGGCAAATAATTGGAGAAGTAAAGCTTACCATCAATAAAAAAGCGGTAGAACGAGTGTCAACATACACATATCTCGGCACGATACTAAATGAACAATGGGACCATTCCCAAGAAATAAAAACAAGAATTGAAAAAGCAAGAACAGCCTTCAATCAAATGTGCAAATTATTCAAGACACATAATTTGAATTTAGAACTGAAACTCAGACTGCTCTGATGCTACTTATTCTAACAAAGATGCTGGAGGCGTTCGAGTTGTGGATATATAGAAGAATCCTCAAAATATCATGGGTGGACAAAATGCCAAACATCCGAATACTCCAAAAACTAAATAAATAAAAATAAATACACAGTAAAACATAGAAAATTGGAATACCTGGGGCACATCATGAGAAACGAAACCAAATACAAATTACTTAAATGCATCTTACAGGGTAAAGTGCAGGGCAAGAGAAGCGTTGGAAGAAGACGAATATCCTGGCTGAAGAACTTGAGAACCTGGTTTAAAATACTTAATTAATTTGACACTTCTAAAAATTGGTAATAGAGAAAAAAAATTAAACTTTTATTTCAACAACTTGTTCAATTCACCTAAGCAGTTATATACGGAAAAATCCTGTACATATTATTCTCTTGAATCACTTGATAAAATATCGGGAAGCTACTTCCTCGCAGAGATGAGGTTCAACGTTGGACCCTGAAATAGCGCATCAAATTAAATGAAAAGAAATCGGTCGATACTAAAATAAAAATAATCCTCGATACAAAAATCAGATGCAACCCACACGGCAAGAAGAAACAGGAAGAACTGGATCTGAAGTACAGAAAGATGTACTGGCTATTGGGTAGAAACCCAGCTCTCACAGTGTATAGCAAGCTATTGTTATATAATCAGGTCCTCAGGCCAGTGTGAAACTTTGGGGCTGCACCAAACAGAACAATAGAAACATCATCCAGCGCTTCCAGAATAAAGTACTTCGTAGTATCGTTGATGTACCATGGTATATAAGAAATGAAAATCTACATAAAGACTTGGGTGTAAAAACAGTAGATAACGTCATCAAAAAGTATGCACAGAATCATGAACAGCGACTCCATCAGCATGTGAATCCTGAGGCATTCAAGCTCCTGGAATTTGTGACAGAGTACATGTCAAACCGATGTACTGTGGTATTACAGACAAAGTGACTATCAGAGGATGTGAGTGCTTTGTGTTTTTTAATGTAGTAGATTAAGTTAAAGACAAATAGCTTATTAGTATGCTTTACTAGATTGCTATAACAATTAAAAAAAAACTTTCTCGCAAAATTTATTTTTGGTTTTATAATTAGTAGTGTTATTAGTATTTCAATTAGTCCTTGGTTAGTTAGCAATGGAGAAAATAATGCTTTGTGAATTCGATCTTAAGATTGCTAGATGCACTGAAGGAATTACAGGTCATTAAAATTAGGCAGTTAATTGTCTTCAATCAATATATTGTACAAATTTAGACAGTTATTTTCACTTTTTTTATCTATAAATAAATTAACACAAAATAACGAAACATTTTAAGTTTATTATTATTCTTCCGTGCCCATGGCCACAGGTTGAGTTTCCAAATCATTTTCAAATTCCTGTTCAGTGGCAAGTTGGAATTGATATCCCCAGTTTTTTGGTTGACCAGCCTTATAAATCTTGAAGAAGAGGTAGGTAGGTAAATACATATAATTTTTAACTTTTGAGAGATTCAATTTTCCGTTATTTGGTGTTCCTAATCGGTGTACCTTATATTATTTAATAAGCTATTTATGGTGGACACCGGTGTAGAACACCAACGGCCTCGTATGTAACATCCCTAACGTATTAACGTATAATCACAACTTGTTAAAACGTGACCGTTTTAATCTTGTTAAAATTACAACAAAATATCCACAGACAAACTCCATTTTCAACGCAACGGCAGTTTCATTAGTCGCTGATCAAAAAGTATAGATATAATTTACTTACTTTACATACAAACTCTAATACTGCCATCTTAGATATTTCTTTTTCAGCTGCTGGACCCCAATTAAACGTTTGCCTTCTGGAGGTGACATCAATTTCTGACGACAAGAACTGTTTCTTAACGAGAGTTTTATTAACAAATTCTTTGACATTGCCAAAAAGTGGATGTTGTAATTCAACATCTATGCCGACTGATTTTAAAAATGAGTAAAGTGAAACTACAATAAAACCAATTATTTATCAGGGATATGTGCTACAGTTTGCATATTTTAAGACTTACCGTCTGTGACCTCATTTTTGGACATTAGAATATGTGATAAAATGAGTAGTATTAACACTTTGGAAATATCTTTCGGCGTTTCATCAGGGTTCTCCATGGGATCATTGATGTAAGGCAAAGCATTGCTAACAATATAGTGTTTTTCCTTGCCTTTTGTAGCGTCACACACCATTATATTATACCCATATACCTAAGAGTTGAAGTTTGAACATGATTATTTTGATATCAGAAACACTTTAATTTAATCGACAAGGAGGAAAACTTACTTTCTTCAGTATTACCCGGACTTTAGCAACAACTTCCTCATGTTTACCACCAAATTTGCTAATTACATTTCGTCTAAGTTCTGACTGAGAAAAACGCATATGTTCTCCACCACGTAGAATTATATACCTCACTACATTGTGGGCAGTTTCTTCCGTATTAGCCACATTTTCATGTGATGCCTGCGATAGGCTTCTTTGCGATTTTCGACTTCGGGATCTTTGAGACATTTCAAAATTTGCAAACCAGACAACACAAAGTGTACAGTAAATAATTTTATTGAATCATTAGTGTAAACAGCCGTAAAATAATACTACATAGATAGAAGAGAGATAACGAGTAGATAAAAACAATACAATATATTTGATTATTTAGGTTATGTTGAAAAACCGGTGTTTATTGCGAACGTTCCACTTCATTCCTAATTTGTTCTCATTTATTTGAAAATTTGACAACGCGCAGAGGGCTCACCATTTATTTTGAAATTAAATATTTAATAAGACTATCAAGCAATTTTTACTTTTGATCGGGTTCACTTCAAAGGCGGATCCAGCTTTCAAGTCAGGGGGGGTCATGTAGTAGAAATTCAGTTTTGGTTGACTATCGGTTATCGTTAGTCCACATAAACCCAGCACAAAGGGGGATCATGACCGCCAGGATCCCCCCTTGTTCTGGGTATGCACCAAAAAATGCCAAAGCTCTAGTTAGACCTTTAATTCTTTTGTATCAAATACAATTTAACTTATGCCCTTGCGAAAAGGTCCTTACGAACGATACCACATTCCCCTTGATTCTCAATTGGAACCACAAAAAGCGTGAATATTTCAGAATCCATTTGGGGACTTAAAAAAATCTTTAATGTTTTGTTACAATATGACACGCTGTGAAGGTGTAAGTAAATTCAATTACCTCGGCTCTATCGTAACCAACACGTGTGGATGTGAAGAAGTGGTACGCCAGAGACACAAAATATCCCCCCTATAGGGGTATGTTCTGTGGCCAGAGACACGCCAGAGACAAGTAGAGACGAGAAACTAAATGTAACTCTCTCGTTAAGTGCGAGCCGTGGCTCACGGGGAGCCACCCGCGGTTCCAGCGAATGCCCGCCAATTTCAAATAATGTAATATAATGAAGTACTCACTGTTTCAATGCTTGAAAATGTGTGCAAAACGTATTTAATGGCGCCAAATTAGCCAGTTGTCTTTATATAAGCAAAATAATGGCTTAGACTCCACGAATACGTCTTGTACATCATTCTCAAGCTAGAAGAAAAAGAAAACATAGAAATAATTATAGTATAGTTTTATTATTCATTAATTTATTGTTTATTGTGTAACAGGAACAATCCTAATATAAAAAAAACTATCAATCCACATAGAAACAAAACTTTTACCTGGCAAACAAAAAAATCTG